TTGCGAAGGCATCGGATTGTGAAAACTTGCAGCATTTTAATCCTTCAGGCCACGAGGTTCCATGTTTCGCAGCCGTATAGAAGTATGGTCTTAACATTCGAGTTGAATATTTTTTGGTACGCCGCGTAATTATTGCCGAAAGTTTGGCTTTTTTATACCGTTGGTGATGTCTTTCTTTGATTTTTCGTTTGTAGATGAAATATTGCCCAAGTAACAAAAGGATTTCACATTTTCGGGTTGTTGTTGTAACGGTTACCTAGTCCCTGCTTAGATGATAAGTTATCGTTTGGTTGTCGTCGAGGTCATCTAACGGGACGCCCAAGAAACGAGCTGTTTCGACGAGGTCGGACCATAGGAAAAAGGGTGTTAGATGAGTTGGGTTTGTTGGGCATGCAAAGAGGTGGTTAGTATCATGCGGAGACTCATTGCACGTAGGACATTATCGGGTTCTATACCATCGACTTGAAAGTTCTGCGTATAAGTGTTGTTGATACGAATTTCTTTAGTTTTTAATTTTAAAGCCTACTTTCGCTGCAGTAGCATAGACATTACCGAAACATTTTTGTCAAATGTTGCTGCGGTAGATTTTCTTAAGGGAATATTTATAAGAGTTCGTTCCGATGACAGCAGGGTTGCGATTTTTAGATTAAAATTTTGTGATTAAAAATTTAATTTTTGTTTTTATTACCGATTTTGGGATTAAAAATTTAAAATATTTTTTTTTGATTTGAATGAAGTACGCAAACGCAAAATAATGGTAATTCAAAAAATTTTTTTTTAATTCTTAATTATATGCTACACTTTTTTTACGCTTCAATCCGGTAGTTTCATTTTGATGATTCGATTCATATGATTATTTGAGTTCCGTGATTTTATTGAATTTTTAAAACGTTCATCTTAAGGTCCAGAGCGAATTATACCTAGAATTAGTAAGCGGATATAAATCCGTGTTCGTTCGGTTACGTAAATCCGGAGCTCCGAAGTGCTCGATTCGGTTTTGGTTATGTAATAAAGTTGCTTTAAGGATGTTAACTAATTAATGGATTAATACCTTAATTTCTTAAATTTGTGACAACAATAAGACAAAGTCTTATGAGCCACGAAAAATTTGAAATTCCCACGAAATTCGAGTTTAATATGTCGAATTTAGCCAAGTGTTGCACTTGTGTGCAAACAACAACTATACGTTCGGAAATTGCAAGAAAATACTGCAACTAGAATACTTTGCTCTGCAAACACCTGCTGAGTGCCGGGAGCACAAACACATTTGCCTTTATGAATGAAGAAATACCACACCACATAAACAAACTAAACGAATATATTTACAAAGAAGGAGGCAATATGCAGCTGAAGTACGAGTACAATGCCACACATAACTAAATATTTGTGCGAGCATTTCCTTAACCTCAGACAACAATATCCTGTTTACTGGCAGCTACCATGGCCAGGTAGTCGAATAGTGACAGTAAATTTTCATTCTATCATATCCTGAAATTATGCCAACAATTACGACAACGACCGCATTTCGTAGAGTCATTAAAGGACAACGACTTGCCCGGCTTGCGGAGTACTTGTAACAAGGATTTGTGGAAAATCACTGCGCGTTAAATAGATTACGCACGACTTTGTGTGATGGTGTGTCCACTGGTCAGGCAGATACACAAAGGGTAGCTAAACTATGTATAAATTTGTTCCGTGGTTGTTGGTCTGCAACTAATAAAACTCAATTAAACGACTAACTAAATTATACCACCTGATTGCGTTACGTGAAGCACTGCTTAAATGCAGAACAAGTGTTGGAAAATTAACACTGGTGCATATTATGTGCTTTTTAATACACATTTGAGTAAGAGTGCGCATATAGTATAACATTTGTTTTTGTTGCATTTTTATTTATTATTTATATCCAAAATTTAGCAGCCTCAACGATGTTTCATTTGCTGTTACTTTATCATTCTGCATTTTGTGGTCACTTTTTCTCTTCCTTTACTATATTTTGGTCAACAACCTGTTTTCGTGTGTTGCCGCAGTTCTCATATTTAAACACACATTTATTTGTGTATTTAAGTATCTGGATGGATGAACTCGTAAAGATCTAGATACATGCATTCCTGCAGGGATTTACGTTCCATGCCTGAGCGCTTTATGCATTTTCACACGTTCTTACGCTTGCTTTGTTGTTACACTTTTTCTGTGCTGTCACTACTGCATTTCCTTCTGCTGGTGAAGATTTCGGCATTATGAAGTCACGTGTGTATATACAAGTATGTACATAATTATCAAATTTTTTTCCAAATCGTTTATGTATTATATAAGGTTGGGTTAGCTAGTATATACACTAAATACAACACAACCATGTTTTTATGTAAGTAATCCTTTTGTGTCTCATCCCGGCTCATACAAACGTTCCAAGTAGGTGTTTCTTTTTGTATCTGCCTATTTCCGTCAGTAAATACATCTTTAAGAATTACATACATACATATGTAGTAAAAAGGAACAATTAAAATTTCAACAATAACATCTAGTACAACAAACAGGCTTTCATACATAGGCAATTTCTTTTTCGTGTAGCTATTGAAACCCATCATGTATATACATATACTGGAGTAGGTGTACAAAATATTGTGACTCATTCGACAAGGACAGCAAACCGGAAAGATAAAAAATATGTAATAACATAGGAATAGAAATGTGTATAAAGTTATATGACTTGCACAAGCCTCGGCACGAGCTTTATAAGGCACATATTTTTAACTCTCAATTCATTTTACAACGTGGTTCGCAGACAAGTGGAAACTGACTAAATTGTGATCTGCAGACGTCAAATCAAAAACACTCTCATACATAGATATGTATGTACATACGATCAACTAATTTTTTTAGTCACATAGTAGATTCATTTGAATTAACATTGCCTCTTACTATTTTATATACATTTTGCTTAATGAAATACTAGCTGAAGTTGTTTTTAACATAAACATGTCAAAGCTCAGGATATGATGTGAAAAGTGTCAAAGCAAGGACCAGAACAATGCGTACCTCATAATATAACTTCAAAACAAATCTTACAAATTATGAAAGAAGCAACGTCACAACACAGACAAAGTATGAAGATGTGTAGACTAAAACACAATTTTGAGAGGAATAAGAAATAATATGCAATTCAGTGAAGTAAACAAGCTATTAGGATGGCAAAATTATGTGGGTGGATGTAAGAACCCGGGTAGCGAAGGAAACGAAACACGAATATGCGGAGGACATGCCGAAAGCGAAAGAGGCATATAAACACGATTCACCGTATACGAGTGTAATTTGGGTGGAAGCATACGTGCGGTAGAAAAAACTCAGCATACACACAAGGTTTTTACGAACACACCCACATACACATTAGATGCTGCTTCACCAATAATTAAAACTTGAATTAACAATTTATATACATACATATTTCATGTAAGCGGTTAAACTGTAGAAATGCATATTCGCTAAGTTCAATAACTTAAATGATTACTCACCGTTTAAATCCTTCGTCAACTGGGAACGCGTCGACATCTTGCCCAATTTGTGCAGAATTTTTGCGGCGAAAGTCAAGTGGAGCGCAACTGGAGCGCAGCAATGCACGCCAGCAAAACAGGATTTACCGGAAATTCAAAGAGTAGATGTTGGCGGTGCAACAACGGAGGGTATTTTCGTTGTTGGTTATTGCGTTGAGGCTGTAGTTGCCAGTCAAGCTAGGTGCCTTCTGTGCCCTTCCAACTGTTATTGTCTTTGTTGCCGTTTAAGTAAAAGCTTTGACTAGCAGCCGTGTTTCTTTTTTTTTTGTGTGTGTGTTTTGCCCAACCGCTTGGCGTATCCAACTTCTTTTCGGACTGGACGAACGCGTCTGCGGCGGAAACTAGTAAATTAAATGACTTGCTCCTTAGTTATTTATATTTTTTCTCTATACCGATTTCATTTGGCTTTGTTTTTAAACACTACCGAATGCGATTTACTTGTAAAAGTGTCGAATTCTTATATTAAACATTTTGTTAACTTAAACTTTTTTCTTATATTTCTAGAGATGGCTAAGACATTTAACCATAATTCTAAGAACACAACTCTTCTGCTTTTAATTCACTTTGTATGCGTTTTGCACTTTACTTTTTCGCACAAAAAACTCAATCAACGAACTTTGATACAACAAACACAGGCAGTTGAAGAGAAAAGTGGAGAAGTGAAAATCCACCCTCTTTGGAAAATTTCATATTAAGCACTTTCAGCTTTTATCTTCCAACTTTCACAGCAATATTAAGCGATTCTTATCGGCACAACTTCTTTACACCAAAGCAACTCCACTTTCATTCAGAATATTTTATTTATTACAAAACTTTTATCTTTTATCACTTTATACACGCATTACCAAAATCTGCTACTGACCGGAGATGGTAATGAAAACAGAATATTAGTCAAAAACCAGCGCAAACACATCTTAGCCCTTTCAAATCTTAAACGAAAATGAGCAAGAGAGAAATGTAATGATACCGAGTTATTGCGAACTGATTTTGATAAAGTAAATGGTTACTTATTTGTAATCGCTTATCGATCACAAACCAAGTTTAGGGTAGTCCTTCGAATATATATAATTTATGTTCAATTACCAAATATAATCCGACTCATATTTAGATTAGATTTTGAGCCGTAATTTTTCAAACTTTATTATAATTCAATAAATACCGATTATCTACTATACTGTTATTTATAGCTTGCTTAATTTTTAGTTTTTCCCATAATAAATATACGTACTACCAAGAATTTTTTAATAGTCTGTTTTTGTTCCTGAAATGTTAGAAGTTATCATTTTAGAACCGACATTGTGATTTAATTAATAACAAATTATGAAGATATATTTCACTAAAAAGATGGCTCTAATATTACTTAGTGTTATATAAAATTTTAATATAAAACCATCTTATATTAGTATAAAAAAAACTCTTCTCAGTTTTAAGAACTATTAATAAATAAAAATCTTTGTCAATCCATTTAATTGCATTGTTTAATAGTTTTTGTTACATTTTTGTGGAGTTATTATTTATATCATTATGTTTCAATTGTTAAGTGACATATTCACTCTAACTTTCTGGCAACACTAGAGGAATTGTTGAAAAGGCGCATTTAGAAAGGAACGAGTGCAGTGTTTTGTGAACAGCTCTTATAATAAATTGGAAAGATGGTGCATTTAAGTGTATTAAATAAAGCAACAAGATTGCAAAGGATGCTTATGCCTTTAAGTAAGTAGTGATTTGTTTAATGAAGGTCACCTTAAAATTGTGTAAGTTGGTAAATCGTGGAATAAGAAATATTTTACAAATTATTTCACAACATTGACATAACGTGCAATGACAAATGCTGTCAAATTAGTCTGAGAACAGTTCTTGCGCACTCAGCTGAGCTAACAAAATTTATATTTGCGGATCAGAAGTGCTTTAAAGTAATCAAATATATAAATTAAATAAATGTCAGTTAAACTCATTTTTGAAAAAGTTAGAATAATTTCGACATAAAATAATTGAAATTACAAAGTTGAAAGCGTTTTAAAGAGAAACGATATGGAGTATTTGTTGGAGCACCAACAGCTGACAAGTGACAAGCCGGCTCTCCCGATGTGTGCCACAAATTTAGTCGAACTCGTAAAACAACTTATTAAAGAAAAACGATTTGATGGCGTTGCTTTGCTATTTACCAGCGAAAATGAATCTGAACGTAACGTAGACTGCCTAAAGACTGTTGGCATTGATCTGTACCATCATGTTTGCGTACCCAATCTCACAACGCAAGTTCACGACGAACAACTGCCGTTATACAATTGTGTAGAGGAATTATTATATTTAATTGCAACCTACGGGCCGATGGAGGAACTATTGCTCGAGCTATTAGAACTTATTGAAGAACAGAAATCAGAGTATGTATTCTCTTCATCATTGCGCGCTTTACAAGGGGTGTTACTCCGAATGGGTGAGAAGAAACCGCGTGCACTTGAATGGAGTTTGAATTCTATACACACGCGTATCGAAGGATTACCACTGCCGAAATATCTACGGGAAGGTTATGACAAGAAACAAGGGCGACTACTTGAACAAAATGGAGAAATTGAAAAATTATTGATGCATTATATCACGTTAAATCTCTTTTACGAGCCACTATTAAATGATATGCTCTCACACCAACGTCCACATGAGCAACAATTCTTCGATACGGGTATTAATAGGCGTAATGTACTCTGTTGTTTCTTGATACAAATGCTTGGAAAGCCATTAGCGTTATTGGATTTAACAGTGGATCAACGCAGGACGAATACATATACAATACAATGTGCTCGAAAACTAACTGAAAGTGCCACTCATTGTTTGGTAGATCCATTACGTCTACTTTCCGTAGGTGAGCAGCGTGTGCGTTGGAAACGTCGCTTGGATGGCGAGAAAGGTGTACATGAAATGAGTTCAAACAATATATTTCTTATAGAAGAAAAATTGCCTTTAGAGTCTTTAGCAATTTATTTTTATATGTTGTTGGTCGAAGAAGTTAGTTTGAATTCTGTGCCAAAAATTTATTCACCACTTTACATATTTGAAGCAAGTTTATATTATGTAAACGAGTTATTGGCTCATGGAGAACCACCATTGTATGAACGGGCGCTTCTGCTGGCAAAGCGTCTGTGTGACAATCTTTCCTCTACAAAAATTACTGCTATTTCCTTGCAGCTTGAGGTGCACAAAAATTTTTGTAATTCTCTCTGCAACATTGTTGGCTATTCATCGCAGAATTTCCTAAGACAGATCGGCGTTAAACTCTTACGCCAGTATATATTACAGTTTGATGATGAGGGTAGATATTTGGTATTAAAAAATCTTCTGCGAACAGTAGCGCACCATGGCATCTCAGGCTATCTGGCTATATTGTATAAAGATTTGGTAGCAAATGCTCTGGTTTCAGCAAAAACCGATTTACCCTCATCTTTTTCTGGCAAAGATTTTCACACAATCTTCTTACAATACATATGCCGCTTACCACAAGGCGCGAAAACTGACCTTATCGAGCATGCTGACAAAGTGATTTCCTCGCTAAACGCCTTACGATTTTTTACCATTAAAGATTTACATAATCGCACGGGACTCTGGGATATAATGCCGGAGATAGAGAAACAATTCCTCGACCCACTACGTAAAGGATTGGATATATCTGTGGCACATTATAAGGCCGAGTTGAAACGTGTGGAATGTGGATTAGATGATGAAGCAGAGGCAGAACGTAAAAGTTTAGAAATCCTGGATATAAATATAGCCAATGCCACGTCTGAAAGTGGAAACTTGGATGCCGATTTGACTCGTCAACGTAAAATTGAAATACTGAATCAAAATCTGTGTACATTTGATCTGATACGAAGTCTCCTAGGACGCACAGTTGAGTGCGTTGAGAGCTCGAACAGAATGTTGAAGAGCGCAGAAATCTGACGTATTTGTATTTATATTATTTATTAAAAAAAAAAACATTAAAATAAAACTAATATTTAAAATATACATTTTGCATAGTAATGTTTTTTAATTGTGGTATGATCATTAAGATATGTAGAACTGCTGAAAAGCTGATGAAGGACGTTAGAAATTAGAGAGGAACCGGTTTACATTTCAGATCGATATTTTTCTAGTTAATTTAGTTAATTAGTAATTTTCTTTTTACTTCAGGTGCTCACTGCTCCATTGTCGCCTGCAGCGCTGATGCCTCCACATTGCTAATCCAGCGATATCGTGCGCATTCGCAGCTAAACCAATGTAGCAGTTATATGTCACTTGTACTCGCCGCTCCTACACATTTTTCGCACACAACAACCACCACTTCAATTCTTCACGTAAATGCCACACGCTTCAAGTCCACCACATCCATTAGCAACGTTGACAGCTCGGAATCCATAGACAAGTTTCGCGAACGTGAAGAGCAGAGAGAGCGTGAATATGAAGAAAAGAAATCACCTGAGGAGGCGCAGGCAGAGGATGAGGCAAAACGTGCAAAAATAGATGCCATACGGGCTCAAATCCTAGAAGCAGCCCTACCACATGTACCTACACTAGGTTGGACGCGTAATGCCATTGCGAAAGGCGCTGAAGAAGCTGGCTTCCCCAGCGTGGTGCACGGTATGTTCCCTGATGGCGGATATGCGCTTGTCGCCTACTTTTATGGCAAATGCAATGATGAAGTTGTACGCCGCTTACAGGAGGAGACACAAAACGGCAAGTTGGCCGTTGGTGATCCATTGGACTTTTTGGTACGCGCTGTGCGCACTCGGCTAGAAATGGTTATCCCATACAAGGCACAATGGTCACAAGCATTAGCGCTGATAGCGTTGCCACAGAATGCCGCCACTTCGTTAGCTCAGGTTTTGACGCTGGTCGATGATATTTGTTATTATGCTGGCGATCGGTCTGTAGATGTAAGTAATTGATACATGTACATATGTATGTATGTATGTATGTGCATTTATTAAAAAAAAATTTTTCTTTATATTATTCTCGCAGTTTGGCTGGTACACACGTCGCATTGGCTTAGCTACAATTATGAAAATGACAGAACTGTTTATGCTGCAGGACAGCTCAGCAGACCACGGAAACACTTGGGAGTTCCTAAGGAATCGTATGGACGAGGCGGTGCAAATACAATCAATACTCTCTGAAACTGAGGGAATGACTCACAGTTTTACACGTTCGTTTAATTCGGCTTTTATAACGGTAATTTGCAATCATGTAGAAATTCATAACTTCCAAAAATTAAATTTTCTATTTATTTTATTTTAATGTTTATTTTAAAAGGCACGCAATATATTGGGCGTCGATTACAGGCGTAGGTAAAGCTCGGACACGAAATTGAAGATTCCAAATTTGTAGGTTGACAACATAACAGAGGTTTAATGTATGCAGAGCACATGGAAATAGTCATATAATTTAGCTGTTAAACAATTTGTTAATAATAATTTTTTTTTATTAACATCAAAGTCATAAAACCAGTGATAAACTGTTTTCTTTATTAATGTGAAAAGAAATTTCCTAAATTACTTAGCGTTAAGTATTAAACATAGATATAACATTATTTAGCTTTTCGCTAATGAGCTGATACCAAATTACTTGTAGTTATACATATGTAGATATTTATTTTTAATTATGGTTTTAGTTTATTTTGTTTGTATGATTGTTTCGATGTGTGCATTAACGTAAATTTCGTGAAATTCACAACCATTTGCCATATGTTTATTTTGCGATTACTGCAATAACGATGTTTGCACTTGCACCGATCCAGCAACAAAACTATATAAAACTTTACCCACCTAACAATGTGTAAATTAAACGCCGTAGAAGCTTAATTGCACAAAGCCTATTGTTTATATATTATCTCGAAATTCAGAATTATTAAACTACTACCGGCACGTACAAGAAATGAAAGCAACTTAAAGAGACTATGTGGAACTTAAGTGCTTCAATATTCAAAGTTTATGTCGTTATGGATTATTTGTGTGTACATAGATGTTATATAACAGAATTTTACAAGAAATAAAAATAAAACAATGAAAAAACAGATATACTGCTTAAATTTGGTAATTTAATTATATATTGAATATTTCAACATAATTGAGGACAAAAATACTTAACGAAAATACATTCGCATACAATAGAATTTCATGAAAAACTGCATAAAATTGTGAATTCTGTGATTTGTTGTGTTAACATTGTAATTTAGTGACTTCAATAAAAAAATTGCAATTTATAAATAATTTTTTTTTTGCTAGTAAATTATTTTGTTTTATAAAAGTAAAGAAGAGAAATAAAGTTTCGACTTGTCGGAAATAATGTTTTAATTTTTTTGTCGATAACATATTATTACAATACTATATTAGCATAGGCACCGTGTATGCGATTACAGCCGCATCAACAATAACGCGCCATTCGTTTCACCTTTTCATTGAAAATACGAATCGAAACCATATCGCTCTCCACCTGATTTTCCCATGGAGTGGATGTCTTACCCTTTCTCTGCTTCCACCAGCTGGTACTGCATCGAACACCTTTAAAGCTGGAGTGCTTTTATCCTTTTGCACGACATGATGTAGCCAGCGTAACCGCTGCCTCTTTATTCGTTGAACTATGAGAATATCGTCGTATTATTCGTACAGCTTTCTCTCAAAAACTTCTAATCAGATGTCGACATCGTCCACGCACCACCAGTGCAGGAGTAATGAGCGACTTGAATAAGTTAGCTTGGTTCGTGAAGAGAGAGACCAATATGATTCGCTTCTTTGTCTTGCCTGGAGAAAGCAGAACTAACGGCGCGGTTGTTAAGGCCAATAATGTCAATATCATAGGCGGACATCAGCAATTTTCCTTTTTTGTAAAATATATTGGCCCTTGTCCTAGGAGAGGTCCTACCTAATACTGAATGCGCTTCTGGTATTATCCAGCATCAGTTTAAATAATCATTTCAGTTTTGCAGGAATATCAAATTCAGGCATAGCGCCAGCTCCTTTTCGTGCTGTCAGAGGCAGCTTTAAAATCGATTAAAAGGTAATGTGTATCGACGGTGGGCTTTAAACTGCCGCACAATACGCCCGATAGGACTTTATATGCGATATTGAGGATGCTTACCCCACGATAATTGGCGCAGTTCGGTTTTAATAAACAAATACTCCTAAGCTTCATAATAATCTTGAGGAGTTTCACAAACATGTACATTTCCTGAGTATAATTGAGAAAAACCTCTTTTGTATTACTGTAATTTCGCCCCGTGAGTTTATTTGAAAGCTTGTTGGCAGCAAAATTAATTAGTTCGTGACGTCATAAACGAAATGAGGGCAAAGTTTTGTTTACATTTCCTTTTGACTCGCAAGTCCTAATTTTGCCTATGAACTCTGGCGAAAATAGGGTGCATATGTACTCGTATCCCCTTTTGGGGACTCTCGGTTTGATTGTTTGTCATACCAAATATTTATTTTATATGTGCATACGTATATGATAAAGCCGTTCAAGCGTTATGTAAGATTAGATTAAAGGTCGATCTTAAAAGGGATCTCACTTAGACAGCTTAGAACGCCTGTTCGTTGTGGTACCGATAATTCATATATAATTGATCATAAGATTCTTACAAATCGACTAAGGTAACCGAAAAGTTAAGACTGCCGCGATGATTCCACCTTAGTTTTGAAAAGGCTGGACAATGGACCTCTATGCAACTTTGACAACTTGCGTCCGACGTTTTAGCCTTACCGCATGAATGCCTATTGAACAATGTCTGTTGGACAAACTATTACGATTGTGGCAAGATGAACTTTGCTAAGACCAAGTAGGTCAGTAGATCTCCTGCGTTCTACTCTAGGCTAAAAGAATCTTGCAGTCACAAAGGAGCGAGTCGTCGACTAACGTCTGCCAAGCGCTCTTTAGGTCCATTGGTCTACTGCTAAAACGCAAGATGACAATGGATTTCCAACTCGTATCGATTCCGATGTGGGCTGGACGTAGCAGTACGTCTACTGCTAGTAAGTATAGTTCTTACATAAGTAGTTAATTTGAAAATCCTGAATGGATGGAGTTCCAACTGCGAGATGATCAGTCTTCTTTGGTTAAATTATTATACACCCCTATTGCGGCAGGCTTGTGCTTTGGGACTCTTCACAGAATCACGCTTGTCAATAACTTTGGACTTTATATACAATTGACAAACAAATACCCTCGACCAAAATCCAATGCAAAAGCCTTCGTTGTTATTTAAAAAAAAAAAAGAAAATACTGCAGAAGAGTTACCAGTTAAAGTAATCGTGGAAATGTGGTCTGAAATAATACAAACCTTTAAATGCACCAGGCATTATTATCATAAATTCCTGTTTCACCTACTTTTTTTTAGCAGAAGATTTTCGGAGGGCAATCAAACCCTTTCAATTAACCTTTCTAATACTTTTAAAACTGGAGTAAGTTAATAATGTAACTGTTTTTGTGTCCGAAAGTTACCCCTTGACATCTTTGAAATTGAGATACCAATACGCATATACATTTGCTTTATTACGCAAAAATATCTTTTTTTTCATTTTACCCCAGTATACATATGTATATTAACATATTAACCATGTCAATGTCTACATTATATTACATACAGTTTTTTAAATTCGGTAATATATTGTGTTTTTGAGAGGTATAGAGATTAAAATGTCTGACAGGATAGGTGTCAAATTAACTACCAAAGAAAACACCTATTTTTGACATTAAACCGACCCAAGAAGCTGAAACAATGTTTAAAAATCTTGGAGATGCTTTTTCAGATTTCGGGTTCCATCCACTTATAAATTAAATTTTGTTGTCAAATCATCTGCAATTATGTATGTATTTAAGCTTAGGCCAGTCAAGGAATTTCAAACATTTGAAAATTTCGTTTTTATCTTAAGGTACACTTGAGGGCTATAAAATTATGTTTCAATTAATGGAATAGGGAAAAATAATAATATTCCGTGTTTATCTATAGTATTGAAAAGTTTGGTTCAATTAGCTTTCGCATGTAAAACTGTAAACACCTTTATCTCGAAATTGAATTTTTCAAATCGGTTGACGATGATACTTGAAGATTATCGCAAGTATCCACTTGAGTGTAGTTAAAAACGCATGTACCTTACTAGCAAGTGTTGGGTGAATAAAGATCCCGTTTTTATACCCTGAACTTTTTTATTTGAAGAGATATCTTCACCAAATTATTGTCCAAGGCAACGATATAATCTTATAACAAATTGTTCAGGTCGGACTACTATAGCATATAGCTGCCGTAAAAACCGAACGATCAAAACCAAGTTCTTCTATGGGTATTCTGGCTTTGGTTCAACCGTTTTTTCGGCAACTGTGCACGCGAGGTGCAGGAAGATGGCGTGGGGAGTTGAAAGCGTGTTCCTTTTCCTCAAGAAGCGCCACACCGTCGACGGCATCAAAAACACCTATGAGAAAGGTGAAGTGGAGTAGGAGCTCGGCATAGAAGAGATCATTTCGACTTCACTTATCCTAAAGGAGGTGGAGAAAGAATCCATTCAGCATTCTGATGGTCCAAAACGGAGAGCTGAGAGTACTCCAAGTGAACGTTTATAAAAGTAAGATCGTCTCTGTCGAGCTTTTTCTCAACTTGGAGAAAGGTGGCTACGACGTGGCTTTAGTCCAAGAATCATGGATAGTATCGGGTAAATTGGTTGCTGGGCTAAAATCACAAAACTAGTTACACAACATACACCCTAAGCGTAAATAACAAAGTAAGAACAGTGATATTGGTGAGAAAAAATCTATATTCTCTTATTGACTTCAGTCTTTCCACAGATGATCTGAAGGTTGTGGAAGTGAAGGGTAACAAGGATGAGCCTAAACTCTTTGCATCCTGCTATATGCTACACGAATGCGAGGTATCAACGGCAGAGCTCCAAAGGCTGGCAGCTAAATCAAGCAGAAAGAAGCAGGCGTTGGTGGTGGGCTGATGATAACGCCAATGATACGATTTGCGGCAGCTTCGATATTAATCAGAGGTGAAGCCCTACTTAATTTTACTTTGCAAAGTAGTCGTAGCTAGTGCTAGCCAATCGAGGTGAGGACCTACCAGCCTCCAGAAACGTCGTAGACAGAACGCTCTATACTCGTAGAGATGCAATGGTAGAGAATTTTAGGGTGCTAAGCACACCGTCATTCGCTGACCATAGGTGCAGCTACTTCTCCATTAGGGGGTTACTTATAGTTAGAATTCTCAAAAAATCGATGTTTTTTCTATTAATTTTTCTTAATGTACATATATTTAGGAATACACACAGAAAATTTCATATCGTTCCGGTGAATATTTTCGAAGTTACGCAAATTTGAAAAGGTGTTTCAGAGTGCTTGGAACTACAAGGATATAGCGGCAGCGACTAATGGCTCGCAGACAACATCAGCTCGAGTTATTAGAAGCTGCCGAAACGGCGGAGAGTCTCTTATATAGGCCTGGAATAGACGACTCCATGTAAGTTAAAAACAAAGTGTTTTCATCCCATGTAAAGTGCGTTCCAAACATTAAGCGCGTTTTTCTCAGAATGGTGTTTTCAAAGTCGGTGACTAACATTACTTTTAAACGGCAATCGATTATTTTTAAATTTTAATATGAGCTTCTTAAAAATATTTTTTAGTAATTAATCAAAAATTTTTTCTCTCCGATAAATATTTTTGTTTTTATAAACAACAAATAAGGCAGCCTTTTAAGCTGCCGGACCCTTTCAGTATATTTCGAGCAGATGTATTTGCTATTAGCCTATAATGCATCAACAGACAATTACACAGTTAATATCAGACAGCTACGCAGAAATCGAGGCAGTAACATCGGTTCGCATATCGGCCAGAAGTTCTTGTGAAGCACGGCAGCAGTGGAGAGTGTCCCCAGAAACAAGCGACTTCACTTCTACTGGGTGCCAGGTCACTCGATGTCAATGAGATAGGGCACGGTATTGCCAAGAGTGGCGTACGGCTGACATCCAATAACGTGACCCATATTCGTAAACCCATGCATTGTCTTTACGACGATCTGGACAAGAGCATGGAAGGTTAAAAGCGGTAGATCAAAAATACACAAAACTCTTACTTAATCTTAATAGAAGACTGTAGGATCATGATTGGAATACTCACAATGGATCATCTCTTGGGCACTTGTCCCGCACTAGCAATTCAGCACTTAAAACATTTGGGGGCCCCACGATATGAGGCATTGGAAGAGATTCCGATAGTGTGGCCGCAGAACCTATTGAAAATTGCTTCAAGCGCTGGCATGCTGAAGCATGACTACTGATCGTGAACTACGTAATGACATCCCATCTGGCATCGCTAAGGACCAAAACTGGTCTACGCGTGGCTTGCAAGCCTGCCAAAATAACCTAACCCAACCTACTCCGAGAGTAAATAGTCAATTGTTTTCTAGAGCTTAGAGACTGCCTTACCCCTTAACGCGTACAAACAATTTTTTTTTTATAAGTTTGTGCATTTACCTTTCGGTGTTTCATTTGAAATAAAAGTTCTATACCTCTAAAAAAAACACCATTTAATTTACAAAAAACACCTTCTGTTTTACAACGTTTGATAATTTGTGCCTGTGTTTGTTTGAGACATGTAGACGTGCTTTCACAAAAATAGTTTAAATTATTCTTATGTGCATATTTTAGTTCGACACATTTACGTATTCATATATAGTATTTATACATGATATAATGGATATGTATGTAATGTAAATTATTATTACTTTTTAATTCTTAGTCATTACCCTTATATATTATATAGTAATTTTTTTTATTTTCATTTTAGCAAAAATTTAACAACAAAATGTATTTTTGTAGCTTTCATTTTCTTAATTTGTTAACGGTATTGTCTTTTCTTTTTTAATTAATAAAATTTAATTTTAAATGTGTAAAAACAGTTATCTTATTTTACTTAAGACGTTTAAGGTTACTTAAACTATTTATTTTTCTAAACTTACATGTATTATAGATTTTTAATTCAGTTTCTTTGAGTAAATTTAGGTCATTGATATTTTAAAATTATGTGAGTTAGTATGAGTTAATATTAAAATGTATGCTCCCACACAATTATTTAAATGCGACTCTTTGAAGTCTGCTAATCATTCATCATCAACTTCCTTCTCTACGAAATTATAAGCTATTTGCTTTGGTTTTCATTTTCATTGCCATTTTTGCGAGTGATATTCATTACCAATTCCGATTGACCAGTTAGTAAGTGGAGCTTTAGTTTGTTCCACAACTGCCTTTTCACTTTCAAGCGCATTTTGTTTGGATCGTACTTGTAGTACTTCGTAAGAGTCTAATGATTCGTTTCGCTACTCGTCAACGACTTACACACATACATTTGTACCCTGCAGTGAATAGTTGAAGCTATGAGCTTATAATAGGTTCACAAGCGTTAAATTTAAAGCTTAACATTTATTTATTTATTGGATACATTTTGCCGTATAAAATCTGCTTATCAATTAATATAAAAATAAAAGAATTTAGTCGGCACAAAGTTTTTCCATAAATTTAGGAGACATTTTTTTGTGAGAAAATGCTTTCCTTTAATTAGAACAGATTAGATTAACAAAATATATCGATCCGAGAAGTTAATGCGCAATGTGGAAAGCAGATCACAAAGTGGTCAGTTATTTAAAGGTTTTTTGAAAAATAGTTTTGAACTCAAAGCCCAATTGAAGCTAACAACAAATCGTATTTCCACAATGATATCAAAATGTTAGAATAATGCTATATTGGTGTATCTGTTATTTTGAAAAATAAAATTGAGGATTATTAAAAAAATATGTTTTTCTTTGAAAGGCCATCAGAACTGTATGAAAACATTGTACACATTAAAGAAATTTTTTCCAAAAATGATAAATTAACTATTAGTGAGGGAGCAGCGAAGTTCAAAATCTCAAATGGTTCCATTAACGATAGTACATAGATTTTCTGTTTGATAGACTTAAAAACGGAACTTTGAGTTGAAAAAAATGTTTCAAAGATTGGTAGTCGGCGGGAGTACTTTTTTAACTAATTATAGAAATAAAACAAACGTTATAAAAAGCAAACTTTTGCTGAATTTCAATTCGCAGTAGTTTTCAGACCTTTGTCTTTTGTTAATGAGAGCTGTCGTAGTGAACAGATTTTATGTCAAATAACACGATTTTTAATTTGTTATGGGCTTAGTAATCTGAAGTTATACCTATGTGACTTTTATTTCAGAAATTTTTCGAAAAAATTATAAATTTTAATAAGACTTAGTTTCGCTGAATAGTTGAACTGAATTTAGAATGGTTTAATTCTAGTTCATTTAACTACAGGGTGTACTTGTATGTGTGTGATATTATTTATTGTTGAAGTGCTCTTGACTTCCTTCATTCTTAGATATATAGTAAACATACTTAACTTAACCTTATTAAGCTATGTTCTATTTAGTTGTCTACGCATAAGTACAGGCATATCCACATAAATGTGACATTTGTAGTAGTCGGTTTCAAGAATGTTACAAATGCCCCTTTAATTCTTGGTCGGCCACAAATATTTCACAATTATTAATATATTAGTAAGTTTATATATAAATGCTTTTAATAACTTTTGTTCTCCAAATTTTCAAGAGTTCGCTCAAGTCGACTTAGTGCGACTACAATGGCTTCAAATATGAGTCATCCATATTCGACGTATCCAACATTTCATCATTATCTTCTGGTTGCTCTTGATATTGTTGCTTTTGTTGTTGTTGTTGTTGGCATTGACTATCTTTAGGGCTGTACTGTTCAATGCTAGAGAATAATAATGAAAGGAGGACGATATATTATACAATTTGTTTCCTCATATAAATAAATATTTTAAAATTATATTTGTATATGATTTATGAAAGAATATTTCCTAAATTTTGGTAAGTCCAGTATAACATACTCTTAAGCGTATATTGTTTTTATATAATTACGAATTAAACTTTAATTAACAATATCAATATCTAAAGTCACTTTACAATTAATAAATTGAGCCTTACAAAGTGAAGTAGTAGTAGTAGTGAAGTCAATTCTCTTGAATACTATTTAAGTACGGCATATTCCCAATTAAAGGGTACTCCTGCTTATATCAAGAAACCCTTCCTTCAAAATATCTCTAAGAAAGTCTCTCCAAGTATTTTAATTGTAACGGGAAGGTCCCCGCATTTTTATTTATTTTTTTCTTATTATCAGAGAGAAAAATTCAAATCTGGCTTCCAACTACTTGAAAATATATCTCGTTTTACAGATTTTATAGGATATTGAATGCTCTTCAAAATACTCTCTTACGGTGTTTTCTGAAACCTAAGCGTTTAAAGGATATTAACTGTGGAAGTTTGACTATTATAACTCAATGAAATAATAATCATTATAGATGGGAATATTCAAAGTTTTGAAGTAGATTTACTGCTATACAAAAATGCTCTCAGAAAGAAACGTCAGAGACTCTATGAAGTATATACATGTACAAATGAACAATGTGAGGAGCTGAATCGATTTAACGATGTCTGTCTGTATAATCATGAACTAGTCCCTCAGTTTTAGAGATAACGATCTGAAATTTTGCGCAGGTCCTTTTCTCCCCAAGAAGCTGCAGCTATAGCGTAAAAATCCGCACGAAATTGAGCATAATTTAACTGTTCCATGTATGTACTCATTGTTGAATATACAAATAAAGCACAAAGTCTTAAATGTATATCTCTAAATGATTGTACATCTGAATTTATATAAGAACAACTATTCACCGATGAAATGCATGTATTATACTTATACTTATGCATACAAATTACAAAACAAGTAGTTCTATCGATTCATAGTTTCCTCGTATTCCTGGTTGTTGTAGATTCGGTCCACCCTAATATTATATTTAATTTCTATGTCTATTTTACAGTTGTATGTTTCAATTCCAATTTCTTTATATGCTCTTGAATTGTGTCGCATTCGATTTACATACATACATTTCCCGCTATATAGTTTATGTTTCCTTGTTTGTGCCATTCTCCCTTCGCATAAACAGGTAGGAACAAACTACATATGTTATGTTATCTACATACATGCTTGTTGTTTGTAAACTGCAGTGTGCAGTTCCCCTATTCTCCTGTGCTGATCTGTACGGTAAATCATATTCGAGTTTTGTCATCGATCAGCCAGCCAGGAAGGTGGAAGGACACACTGCGGTAAGTGAAATACATATATTATAATTATTTGTAAGTGCTTAATTTAAATGCTTGTGTATTTAGAAATAAACCATAAACCAAATATGCGTTAAATTCGCCCCACCTCATCGGTGATACATGTGTACTTACCATTCCAAGTTTGGCACACCCAATACTGTCTCGATTTGGCGTTCCGGCTCATCAACCAAAAAATCTTCAAGAATTTTAATAATTTCACTGAAAGTAGGGCGCTCACCAGGATTCACATTCCAACAGGCATGCATGAGGTTGTAGCTATTAAACGAGGAACAAGAACAGAGAAACAACATGAAATAGTTGAAAAGAATGCAAAAACATTGGATAAACCTTAAAATAAAAGCACTGAAAATTTTTAATGGAATTCATTTTGTTGGCTGTGTTAGTGAACAAATAAAGGAAATGAAGGAACGCTCGGTGAACAATATCCTGCCGGTAGCAATCTGTCCGCTCAGCATAAAATATGTGTAATATACATATGTATGTATTTACACACATGCATGTGGCTGTGTATTGTAGGAATTTAGGGTGGACCTTATTTTTTTCAATCCAGTGGTCTAAAACAAAGTTATAGCGTTTTCTAGGAACCCTAAACGGTGAGGCTTTGCTTTTGAAACTTATTATAACCAATTTCTACTTGAATTACAGTAAGAACTAAGACCAATTGATTTCTTTGAAGTACTCAATATCGGATATATGTCGCTATAAGTCGTGGCAACTTCATCACAGTGTTTTCTTGCTCGACAATAATCAGAAAAACAAAACAACTCTCAAGACACAATACACTGCTTGAGACAAGAACAGAAGAAAAAAAAATTGTCAAAAATATTGGCAACTGTAGATCGATGCCATCTAAAAACGTCGAAGTCGGGGCAAACTATGAATAAGATTTTCTTTTAATGAGTGCGTATCCCGTTAGGGATAAAGTGGGTGGGAATTGTAAAGCTGAAGTCTAGAACAACAAACTCGATTGAGCTACTGCAAAAAGCAATAGAGTTCGCGAGTGTTTAGCGAACATAGAGTTCGACTAATCGTTTGAAGAAATTTCTACATCGATTCTGACATACAATTTAAGCAGGGAGTTCTTTACTCCTTTCTTTACCTTTTTCCTTTTGTAACATGACAAGGCAGCTCGATGCCGCAAAAAACACCGTGTTGTGTTTCCCACATGAAATCAACCACTTCAAAGCTCTGTAACATATAAATTTGGGGGTTTCATCATTGTCATTATTACGATTACTTATTGAAATCGATGAATTGAAAATGGGTATAAGACTTCCTATTAGAAGATAAGTCGTTTAGTATTGGATTTCGGGTTTATCGTCTGGTCGAAAAAATAATGTAGCCTTGTAAAAGTTCAATTAAAAATATAACACGATAAGCTTATTAAAGACATTTTGCTTTTGCTTATATTATTTAGGTAGGCAGGAGTGTAGCCCCTTCTGGCACAATTAGCGCTACATGCAATATCGTAAGACCTTTAAATCTTGATAACACGCTTCATCGTTGTGTTTAAACCATTTGGTGTTCTCAATGAAACTACTTATCTCCGCTATGCTGTAGATAGACATTCAAGGTTTAGTAGCTGCAGCAAGTATTTTATAGGCATTTCTATTTTTTATGCATGTTATTTAAACGGCCATATCCCATTATAGTAGCTGTAAGTCTATATATACTTTTGCTGGACCTTTGTAATATGTCCTTAGGTTTTGTCTTGTCTTATTTTGGGCACATCTGTTTCGTTGTTCGGTTATAGATTTCCATCTATTCTGAGCTTTTTGTTCAAATTGTATATTGATTGTTATATCTCTAAATCGGATTCGTCTGAACAAGCTCCTAACTTGTCGTCTGCTTTTTCGTTGTCGAAAATGTTCTTGTGATCGGGTACCCAAATTATAAACAAGTGAAATTGACCTGCCTACTTACATTTTTTTATTACGCTGGAATTGATCTTTGGAGAAAGCAGGGCTAGTATTGCCGCCTCCTTACATAGTTATTGAGTAGAACTCCACAGACATTCACTATACCTGGTACTTCCGCTTAGAATATGGTTGCCAATTTTGTGGGCGGAAAAATATAGAGATATCAAGATCCTCGGAGTATACCCCCGTCCTTATACCGCAGTCCATTTTGGACCCGTTGGTGTAGATTGAGGTAGTATCACCCTCCTCTACTAAACCTCTTTTCCATTCACGTCTAGAGAGTATTCTCAACTGAAAGTAACTATTTAAATCCAACCTTGGCAGGATATAGTCTGATTTATTTAGATTTGAATCAAGCTGGTTTAAATATTTTGCTGTATCCATAACTCTTCCTGTTCCAATCACCAATCAGAAATATAGAGTTCTTATAGTAGAAAATGCTGCCACTTTCCGTATGAAAACGTTTATGGGACGCAGGAGCATATTAAGCGCATTATTTGAACATGACTAATTTTCCTTAAATGCTGTGCACCAAACCAGTGCTCAATATGTAAGAATTGGTCTAATGGTGGCCGTATACATCCACATGACTATATTCGGTTTTAGACCTGAGTTTCTGCTGAGTATCCTCTTGCTCGTGCAATACGCCACATAAGCTTTTCTAATAAGTTTCTCAATATTAGTTTTTCAGTTCAGCTTGGTATCTTTCTCGACCGGCAGATATTTTGCTGTAGAGGCAAAGAAATTATAGTACCACCGAGTGAGATAAGTTGAAATTGAGGTAGTTTGGTTTTAGTTTACCTTGATTTCACTATCGAAAAGCCATGTAGGTTCATAGGTACAGAAAATAAGAAAAACGAAACCATAAAAATGTTGAGATTTATTCGTCTCTTGTTCTAGGCTTCGCAGAATCGCCAAACCTGATATTATTCAATTGGCTTAAAATTGAATGAATTTCTAACAGAACTGTGGCTTGGCGCTAACAAATCAGAGTTTTTCTCGTAGATAAGGAGCATTCTAATGAATATGTGTTGTATGTACATATGTGTGCATTAATGTGAGATTACCTGATATTGAATATAAGTAAATAAATACATATGTGTTATATACGATGCGTATGCAAATAAAAAACTTTTAAACTATGAGTAGCCTGAAAATTAAACTCCAATTTCCTCTACAAAAGAATGTGTGTAAAGCTTAAAACATTTACGAACATTTGTGTACATATGTACTTACATATATTGTTTGCATAAACATGTGTGGACACACATGAATATGTTCATGGTTTACTTACAATTCAGGTCCGCAATTCCTTGGTTTCTCCATGCGATAGCCGGTCTTCAACAGATGCAATAGGCGATGCGTCGGTATTGAGGGGTAGGGTGTGCCGCCGAGTGTCACAATCTCATAGAGCAGTATGCCATACGACCAACTGTTGATTATATATTGGCAAAAAAATATGCATAAAGGTCAGTTTTCGTTACGACGGCATGGTTTATTATATTTATTTTGGTAACATCCAATCCAATATGAAAAAATATACACATGAAAATATTTGAAAACGGATATAAAATTCATTAACGGTGTATTGTGTAAAAAGGAAAGACCCGAATACATATGTACACACATAAATATTCATATACCATATGTATAATTTAGGTTAAATAAATTTACATAAATTGTAAGAACTATCCTATATGGAAACATGGAGGGCAAATGAAAGCTGCTTATTCGGTTTGTAGAACCGAGTAATGAACCAATTTTCCCATTTGCCGAGCTCTTGGTCTTTTAACATTCAGAAATATGTAGTATGGCCGATTGCTATAGAATCATATCAATGCGGAGATATAGGAAAACCTGTGAACTGATTTCTTCCTTTTTTGAAAAAACATATGCTTCACTCGTTTTTTATTTAAGATATGCCCCTCATAAACCGATATGAAAGGTTTAAAGTAAAGCCAGAAGGCATTATATTAGCTATAATTTTAGCTGAGAGTTGCCACAGATCTGTACTATTTTTATTAACTATTATAATATTAGCTGATCATTTCAGACATATCCACATCTACTCTCTTGTTAATACTTTGTTATTTCAAAGTACAAAGTTGCTTGGTACACACGTATTTAATTTGTATATTTCAACATTTTTTGAATAAACTGTAACCATCTGGACCGTTTTAATTTTTATTAAAAAGTTATTTCAATATCTAACGTCATTACATGTATATTTATTACAATTCGTTTGTATATAAATACAATATACAAAAAATGTCATGGTTTGATCTTGTGCCTTATTAATGGCCATAGCAATTGCTAAGCGGCTATATACATTTTTGTAGAGCAGTAAATTCCGTAAAAACTATGAGTTTTACAATTTAAAATGATTTTTTTTTCATTGAGTTATAAAATTCATAAAAAGGAAATGTTTGCCTTAAAATAATCAAATGTTAAATCGTAGTAGCAGCAGTAAAAAAAGAAGTTTGGAAACGTTTTTCTTTTTTGCATTTTCTGAGAATATTTACCATCGTAGTGAATAGAGTTTTTATACCATTATAAAGTAGAGGTTTGTTAATAATGTTCAACTTACTGACTTTTAAAAGAGCTATAATACCCTTCACACTTGCATTTTTTATAGCAAAAAGGAGTATAAAAATATCTATATCCTAATTTTTATCGGTTTTTATATAGAAGCTATATTCTTTAATGGTCCGATTTGAAGAATTTCCTCGGAGATTTTAGGAATGCATTGAATAATAATCTATGCCATTCGTGAAGATCAAATAAAACATGGAATACCGCTATAGTGGTTCGATCTAAAAAATTTCTGGGTAGGGTGCATAATTTTCTTAGACAATAACACTACTCAACAAATATGATGGAGAAAATTTCCGACTAATGTGCTGAGAGGTTTGAGGGCGTACACCCCCTTGAATCGTGTTAAGAAATTTATACTATCAACTTCGATTTTAGCAACCCAAAAATAGCAACAAACAGCCTCCAACATCACAGTCGCAAAATGACTGTAAGCTAGTGTAATCAATACCAAATTTCTTGAAGATATCTCGTCAAATGAAAAACCTTTCCATATAAGCACTTGATTCCGATCGTTCAGTTTATATGACAGCTATATGCTATAGTGGTCCGATATCGGTGGTTTCGACAAATGAGCAGCGTCTTCACGGACAGACAGACGAGCATGGCTAAATCGACTCTGCTCGTCACGCTGATCAATTATGTATTTACTTTGTGGCAAATAAATATTTTGAATATTAAAAACTACAGTGTGTTTGGGACATAAACAAGTAAGTTTATACCGAATTAAGTGAAAGATATGAAATTTTGTACAAGGTTAATATAAAAAACCCAAAAACTTGGTTATTTGAATTTTTCACATACATTTTGAGATTATGTGAAAAGGTTAAGAAAAGTTATAGATCTTTACATTAGGATTCGTAGTTTTGCCGGAAACCGAGATAAACCGTGCACCTTCTGCATTTTGGTCAAGGGAGGGATCTACAGTGTTTTAAGCTGATTATTACATTTTTTTGGAATAAAAATGGAGTCCAGTTCCTTTATAGTATTAGTACAATAATTCCTGTAAGAAATGGCATAATAATGAAGCCGATGTTTTTTCGTAAGTTGGTTTTTTGCCTATACTATTTATTTACAATATATATATATATTTACAAACAAAAAAGTTTTAAATTATTTTCGAACCATAGATGCTTGAATGTTATTGTCAATGTTATCCCTAATTATCAGACAAGTAAATCAACTGACCTTTTTCTCACTTAGCCAATTTATTCTCCGAATAAGTTGTATCTACTGAACGATCGCTGTTATTTGTCAGATAAGTAAAAGGTCTGTAAACCGGTTGTCAAAGTAAACACATGTGTTTGACATTTATATTCAGCATACCTTGGCCAAGACAACGTTTAAAATGCGGGTAAATTATTTCCCAAGCTCTATCGAGAGTATAAGATGTTCGGTTACACCCGAACTTAGTCCTTCCTTACTTGTTTTAAATTATTGAGATATGAACTATCTAATTTTTTAAGTTCGATTAAACTGAACAAAGTGTGCGAAATTTTATTAAAATCGGTTCAGTAGTTTTGAAGTTTACACCGCACAAAACGTGACATCTAATTTGTATATATGTATATAGATTATAATTTATTTTAATTTAAAGTTTTACCTATATTACAGAAATCAAAGTTATAATATTTACTGGGCAAAAGATTTTTTCATTTGTGATAGATTTAAAGCTATAATATATATCTTTCAATTACGATGGATTGTCTCATCAAAAAACATGAGAGCGAGCAATATAATTAATCAATTCTCTAATGTGTTAAACACAGGTGCAAATTCACACGTATACGTTTGTTCACATCACTTTTGGTACACTGTCCAGATGAAAATGATAGAAACCTTTTTCTAGTGGTAAAATGAATGTCACCGTTCTTGTAGGGATACTTAATACTATATTTACATTAGGGTGGAGCGGAAGGGAAGCCTGAGGGTAAAATTTGTAGATTACATAAAAAAAGAAAATTTTTGAAAAAAAAGTTTTTAATATCTAGAGGCGATACATCAAACGACCTGAGCATTCATCAAAGTAATTTATGGTATCTGGACATTTTGTGTTGCTCATACGACATGGTGTACTATATGAATGTACAATAGTACATTAGATGCAGAAATAATATATATAACGTATAACTTTGAAACGAATGTTAATGTAAAAAAAAAATTTTTGAGACCTTTTTTGTAGAGCCGAAAATTTATATTAGAATATCATTCTTTAAAGTCTATTCAAGTTGTAGGTTGCATAAGATAAAAACATCCAATGTTAAATATATGGGGAAAGTAAATTGATTAGGCACCTTTAAATTGAAAATAAAGAGCTTGCCTAGAGTGGACAAAAACTTTTTTATGACATAAACTGAATCTTCAAGGGACTTTTTCAAAAAAATAACCAACTTGGGAAATAATGGGTACCTTAATGTACATATACATATAAGTCTGCGAATTCCAGTAGAAAATGGCATGCGTGTTTGAATACATTATTATCATAACATCGTTGCGTTTATTTGAATTTATTAAAATCATTCAAGCGTGTTAATAATTGCATACATTTTTGGACCACAATGTGTGCAGAAGTAGATATGTATGTTAAAGTAATAATTTGCTTGAGTACTAAGAAAAAATTGCATTGCACGTGCTCTTGCTATACCTATATATGTATGAACTCGAATTTAGCTCGCTTTACAATAAAATGAGTAGATCATTAATGTTAAATGCCGAGAATATTAAATATTTAAAATGGAGAAAATTTGATCTTAAAATTAAATTCATTTAAATTTATTGGAAAGCCAATACTACAGAGTATGCTTATTCGTAGTAAGTGTTTTTTACCACAAATGCCTTCAGTTCCATTATAACGTATCAACTTAGTAACATCGTCAACAATTGCTACAAATTCGAGCCCTTAATAGTGGTTACATTAAAAAAATAATATTTTGAGAGTATTTCTATTTGAAAAGCGATATATGTACATACATGTATGTATTTAAATTTTTAAATATTAAAGCATCAAGAAAAAAGATAGCGAAAAAGAAAAGATACTGTTGTTTGTAACAATAAACGGGGTGGATAAATGGACATAATGATAGAACTGAACTAAAGCTATAATACCATTCACAAATATAAAATATTCTTTACAAGAACTTGATTTTGATCGTTCAGTATGTATGGCAGCTATATGCTATATAGACTCGATCTGAACATTTTCTTTGGAGATTGCAACAAAATTGTGACTAAAACGTGTCGTGAAGATATTTCGTCAAATGAAAAAGTTTTCTATACAAGTACTTGATTCCGATCGTCCACTTTGTATAGTTGCTATATTATATAGTTCCGTATATACAGCCAGACGGACAGACATATGTACGAATATGGCTAAATCGACTCAGCTCGTCATGCTGAGCAAATGGTGCTAGATTTAATAACACGTGTGTATCGCGACATCTTGTAATACATAGGTAGATATAGAAGTGATGATTTCTAACATATAAAAATTTAATTACGCAAATATTTCAATAGTGACCAAGCACGAATAGACTTCACGTGCGCATCGCTGTGTGGCAACAACTTCAGAAAAACTCATGTCATTGAAAAGACCTGTAACAAAATTGTGACCGGCTGTTTTTCATTTCGAATTTTCAAACAATTAAATTGGTTTAACTTTGAGTGTGAGATAAAATAAAAAGAAATTGGAAGAAGGATAATGAATTAAAATTTCAAATAAATTAGCGTCGTATTTGTCACTTTTTCAGTTATCATATATATGTATGTATTTATGTATTGGTCTTTGTGTACACTCTTCTGAGTAAATCTATGAAAGTGTTATGGCTTTTTCTTGTACTGACATATTCTTTAAAAATTCTTATATAATATGAGCTCTTTAATTCAAATCACAAAAATTTCTTATAACTACTTACACATCGCTTTGGGTCGTGTACACCTGGTGAGTCATTGATTCCAAGGCCAACCATTTGATGGGCAATTTTCCATTTCCGGTTTTCTTATAAACATTTTCCTGGTAAATGTCACGGCTCAGACTGTGTTGTTGTTTATAATTATGTCGTTAAGCAGTAATCATCAAAGGTGCAATGTAAATGCCGTCCAAAAATGAGATAAAAAACGTTGGCAAAAATAATTATACATAATAATAGAGTGAATGCGAGTTCAAAGATAATGAATTGCGTTAAACTTGCGCCAGGATGTTACGTAAAATGAATGGAGATTCAAGTGAAGAATTTCATTGACACAGAGGGGAGAGCGAGAGAGCTAGTAAACGCGATGAGTAAGCGGTAGTGAGAGCTGTGGCTGACAACAGCAACGGTATTTAAATTGCATATCCACGGCTTTAAAGCATAATAATAAAACAAAGTACATGTGACATGTTAATGTAACAGTTAATGTAATTTTTACGATTCTTTGTATATACTTAATTGTACAAGTCAAGTATAGCATCGCCAGATATGAAGTGTTTTTAAAGCTTTAATTTTTTTCTCGTTTCCACTTTCATATATTAGAATAGAATATACTAGATTTGAATCAGTTTAAAAACTTTAACTCTTAATGTGGTACAATCCAGCTTTGCGAGAAATGTTATACCTCAACATCCTTCAATTTAGGCCCGAAAAAGTGAGTAATTTATCATGGCTCTATAGCGTTCTCCATTGACTGTAACATTATAGCCGGATTCAAAAATATGCACCAATGATTCCTTCTGCTCATAGGGCACACCAAACAGTGACTATGGATGTAACGCGTCTCAACATTGGTATGTCTATTATCATCACTCCATATGCGACAATTTCATCACTGAACAAAATTTTCTGTGAAAATCAGGCATGCTTCAATTTTTGCACAGGTTGGATTTTAGTAGCCCACAAACCAAGATCCTTCCCAAAATCTTCAATAAAGTGGACGGGCACAGCTCTCACGGTTGCGCGTGAAGCCGGATAGATTCATTCGGGTCTTCTTCGTTACTCTGCTCCACAGCAGCAATAGCTGTCTCTGAGGATGCGCATGCGTCACGCGAACCGAACCACAAAATGGCACACCGCGCTTTGTGTGTCAACTAGCAGCTGTCAAAAAGACGAACTTCGAAAAAAGTATTACCTCTAAAAAAACACCCGTTTTTCGCAATTCACAAACTATACTTTTCCCTAATTGAGACGGAATAAAGCCTGCTAATTATTGTTGTGAAACTTTTTTTCAAATCCTTTTACTTTTGCGAACGAATTTGGATATTTACCAATGTAAAGCCGGTTTTAGAGCTAGTGAATATGCCTTCTGCCCTATATTTACCAGAGAAAAGAGTATACCTTGACACTTGAACATTTAAAAATCATAGACATTTATTTTGAAAACTTGCCTTCTCTGCGTTGAACTTACATAGTAGTAGCATAGCATAGGCCATATACACGAAACTCTGCTCAAACACAAAGTGAGATAAAATTTATGAATAAAGATAAAATATTGGTCGATTCATAAATTTGCTGTGTTTTTTAAAGTTCTGTAGCTCTAAAAATCCCACCTTTATATATGTTCGTCAACAAATATGATAGAAGCTGACTATGCTTACAATTATTCGTTGTCTATCTTATTTGCATGTTAATGGAGATAATAGATAAAGATAACCTCATTTAGATTATTCTCCCAAAAATTAGAACAATGACTGTTATTAAAAGAATGAAAATGCGAGCAACAGATTGAAATAACTCCGAATTATGTAATGAAAGAGGTACTCATTAGCGCTGTTAACTCACCCAAAGTCAGCAATTTTAATGGTGCGATCTGGTGCGACGAGCACGTTTCGTGCAGCCAAGTCACGATGAACCACCTTATTCTTCGCCAAAAATTCCTGGAATAAGAGAAAATACAAAAAGATGATTTAGCATAGCATAATGCTTGTAAAAGCTAAATTTAACGGCAAATGCATTACGAAGAGACAATATTATTTTACAGAGAAAATGGTCTGTGCCAATTCTATTTGAATTGATCAATATAATTCCACTCAATTTGATAGCACTGACCATTTGTTTGCCGAAACTTTGTTATAAATGAATAAAACAATTAATGGCAAAATGTTTTATTTAATTTATTTAACGTGCGCGTCCTTATTATACTAGCTACTGACAAGATGGGAAATCTATTTTGTCGGTATATAAACGTTAATTAACTTTGACTTACTAACTGAAAGAGTTCGTTAGACAACCTTATTTCAGAACAATTATAATCATGAATCGTTTTGAGTTATTAAGTTTAGTTAATTTACGGGTCGAACCCATTTCACAATGGCGGTATCAATAAGCACAATGGACATATTTGGGAAACATTAAACCTATTTATCGCCATTTTATGACTAAAGGTTTGAACCAAAAAACCTTTGGAGCGGCATGTCGCACTCCGAATCGACTGTTTTTTTTGCGCTAAAATTCATTGGATGTCTCTGGTCAAGAATCGGATACACTAACTTCTTTTGTAACATATGTATAATTATTGGAAAGTAAATGTTTACGGTATATCGCAGGAGATGCTCGAAAAAGTAGTGAACGCAGCTAAACGAATTGTATTTCGCTTTGGTCATTAAAAGTGATTACGATAAATATATACATATTGCCAATGTATAAAGGTGAGTTTTGTTTTTTTAAACAAATTTGTTCAATGAGTACATACCGACATCAATGGCCCAATCCACAAAACAAAATACCTATTTTTTGGAAAACTACGATTTAATAAATAATGACATCTTTCTCCTATTTTGATTTTTCTCGGGCTGTGTACATTCGATTATCGAGATTTTGTTTTTGTTATAATCGGACACATATGTTTATCATGTGCTTGCATTAGGAGCCAATTTCGATTAGTAGTTATTTTTGACAACATAAAAGGTTAGTCACGTTTTTGTGTGCTCTTCGATTTTTGACTTTTGAAAGAAATAGATCAAAAAGTATGTATTAAATTTTGCGTTAAAAATGGAATGATGAAATGTTGACTATTCCAATCGCTGAGTACACTTTGTCTCAAAGAGGTGTTTATAAGTGGTACAACCGCTTAACAGAAGGCGGAGAAGATGTTGATGACGATGAGCATTCTGGAGGTGCGACCACGTCAACAAGTGAAGAAAACATCGAAACAGTGAAAAAAAGTTGTTCTTGAAAATCGTCGAATCCCTATTAAAAAAGGTGCAGAGGCTGTTGGCAATCGGCTCATGCCATTCAATTTTCTCGAATGTTTTGGGCATGAAACGTATGGCAGCTAAGTTTGTTCCGAAATAGCTAAATTTTGAGTAAAAGCAATGGAAAAACAAATCGTAGATTCTGCATCACGATAATGCACCAGCTCATACATCAATGCTTATTCGTGATTTTTTGACCAGAAACAAAACAGTAATTATGCCTTAACCACCGATTCACCAGATTTGGCTCCCTGCGACTTTTTCCTATTCCCAAAACTGGAGAAGCCAATGAAAGGAAAGCGTTTTGTCACAATTGATGAGATCATGTCAGAATCGAAAGAAGAGCTGGTGGCCATATCGAAAAGCGCATTTCAGAAGTGCTTCGAGAATTGGAAAAAGCGTTGGCATAAGTGTATTATATCCCAGGGGGATTACTTTGAAGGGGAAAAAATAGATATTCATGAATAAATAAGTACTTTTCAAAAAATTAAAAATTCCCCTCGTAGCTCGGTTTTGTTAAAAACTACTAAAAGTGCGATAAATCAATAACTAAATGCGACAGAGACATTAAATTTTACATCAAGGATGCCACATAAGGGCTTTTTAGGAGCATGTGTCAAAATTGGGCGTGGATCCGCTCACATTTATGTGAAAGCATATATCTCTGGACCTACTCTACCAATTTCAATTAAATTTGGATTATGGATTGGATTATTTTAACATTCTGATTCATCTGATGTTTTCACTTTTCAATCTCAGGCTAAGAACTAGCCCGCAGATAGCGGAAGTGTGAAAGTATAGGTCAATGTGTAACATATACAATTGGAATTCGGAGAGAATCCTTTTTCCCTTAGCCCCATATACCAAATATTCGAATTTCCGGCAGACTTAATACCGCATATATCGGCCAATATGTGAGTTATCTCAATAAAAATGAGAGAGCGCCTTTTTCTAATAGCAGTGTACCTTTGTGCCGAATATTGTGCCGAATAGATAAAATCGGGTGAAAACTTGCCTTAGCTCCCATATAACTGATATTCAGGATTTTCAAACATCATGGAATCTGGTGTACCTTATTGAAACTCAGAGAGCGTTTTGACATACGACATACGGCCGCTATTTGTGTTGTGAATGAATCTCCATCAAAGATCAGTATCGATGGTATGGTGAATTTAATCGAGGTTTTAAATCACTTCTAGATGAATTTCGTGAAGATCGTCTTAAATTAGTTGTTGTTTCGAAAATTATTGATGCTGTGCGCAAACTGATATTGTAAGATCGTCATGTGACCTATCGTGAAATTGAGACAACTATAGGCATTAGTGGGACTAGCACATATTCAATTGAACATTTGACTGTAAATTGAAATTGTTCACGTTATATCCCACACAATTTGTCGATTGGTCGAGAAAAATGTTAAAAAAATTGCCCAAGCTGAAGAGGCGGTTGATGCGTTCATAATGTATGTTTTGGAATCACTTCAATCAGAATGGCAAAATTGCATCGGCAATTGATTCAAACGAATGTAAAATTATATAGATCTTAAAGGAAAATATTTTTAAAAACAATAAAGCGATTTTTCGCTGATTAACATTTGTTGTTGTTCTCTAATAAAAAGCAGTAATGCCAAAAATAGATAAGATCGGGCCAATACCCATCTCCCAAATACCTAATTTTCATTTTCATACTTCCGGTTGGCTTTATACCATATACATATAATGGTCAATATGTAAGATGTCTTAACAAAATTATCTGAACATATAATACAATATATTGTATACATTTTTCTACATATAATAGTTCCCGTTCTGGCCGGGACAGTCCGGATTCCGAGTTAAGCGTCCCGGCCGTCCCGCGCTTAATAATTAAAAAAAAGAATGAATTGAATAAAATTGTGTTGCACTCTCACCTATTATATGTCGCGATTTTCAGTGAATTATATTATGGAAAAAATCTATGACAAAAAAACCATCCCGGATTTTGCCGGAACAAATATGGTCGCCTATGTATAGACCTTGGTCTAAATTTCATATTACTTATATCATTAATTGCGTTTTTCTGGTTGACGTTTTACACATCAACTCATTATATGAACTTAGCTTCTTCGGTTAAGTTTACATCACATATACCTCATTTAAGGATGATTTTAATATAATTTTTGCTGACCGGAAGTAAAATTTAGTCATAAAACTAATTGTGTCTATGACCTATAATATAAGGTAATAAAATACCAAAGTTCATTGCAATTCATTCCCGATTTCGTCGAATAACGATTGTTAAATTCTTTCGCAACTTTTTTTAATATGAAGTTTTCTCAACATCTGAAGATATTTCCCTAGCTTTGCTCTTTGCAAGTTGCAAGAGTATGAAATTTTCGGTTACACCCGAGCATAACCTTTCCTTACTTGTAAAATAACTGCATTTATATGACTTCCTTAATATATAGCTATTGCATTCGACTAACTTACGTCATACATACGAGTATACCTATATGTACGTTTGTTACATCGTAAACATGCCACGAAAGTGTTCTAACAACCCTTTACAGTTCTTGTCATGGGTATAGAGAATTAACTTTTAATTCATATTTCATAATTTCACGTCATTAACTGAACCATGCTATTAAGGTTATTTTGGAAAATGTTGTGTAACATTGTTGTGACTGCTTTAAGTTGCTGTAAACAAGAACCCATGCCATTTACTATACCAATGATTTGAACTGAAAAGATCAGCGAGGCAAAAATTAAAAAGGGAATAGTTGTAGATCCACAAATACGGCAACTGATAAAGGATAAAAGCTTTGAAGAAAAATTGAATAAACAGGAAAAGCTCGCCTGGAAGTGTTTTGTGAACGTTGCCCAAAATTTTCTAGGAAACCATAAATCGGAAAATTACAAAGACTTAGTAAATGAACTTAGAATGTCATATAAAGTTTGGGAGGTAATATGTCCCTAAAAATAGATATGCAGGGCTCTCATCTAGATTTCTTTCCGATAAGCGATATCAAAGGAAATTGAACGCAGGAATGACTTAGTAGATTAATGTTTTAGGCTTAAAAACTACCTTCCAGAAGCCAAATAATATTTCTAAGTGTAGATGATGGTTGTACTTTTTAAGAAAATATATGTTTTCATACCGCAAGAAAATCTGACATGTCAATTTGTTTTCTTTCTCATATTTATTTAGTGGCCATAGTATATTAAAAAATTCATAAGTTTTGATGTGACAAAAAATAAATTAAAATTTTTTTTAACGGTGTAATTTCTCAAATATTTTTCTTTTAAAAGCATTATTGTAAAACTGTAAGTCTTCCTAAATTTTTGTTGATTTTCTTATTATTGTTTTCATTAATTAATATAATCTTCGATAGTGGCAACCTTCACTCTATTTAACCATCAATTACCAAAGGTGCAATGACGAAACTGATTGTTATGCAGATAATTTTATGCCATTTATTATTTGAATAAAACGTCGGACAAATGGCTACCACGGCTCTGTTTGCATATGTCTACCCGTTTACTCCAATTTTCGATGCTGGAATTTCAACTATAGTGCGCGCAAATGTTGTCTTCGAGCGCCTCGAGCGTTGCTGATTCATTGACGTAAACCTTTGATTTAACATACCCTCCAAAAAAAAACAATAATCTAAAGGCGTTTGACTGGGCCATATTTGAAATGAACGAGTTGCCAAACTTTTCTCGCAATGTGTCCATGTTTAGACGTCAAACATGAGGCGGCGCACCGTCTTGTTATAAATAGAAAACGTTCACGTAGATTTCATCAAAGAAAAAAAGTCGATCAATATCGTGTTATAACGCTCGCTATTGATGGCAACGACATTTCCTTCCTCATTTCGAAAAAAAATAAGGACCGAAGATGCCGCCATACCACAATTCGCACCAAACGGTCACTTTTTGGGGATGCGATTACGTTTCCTGAACCACACGACGATTTGATGCACACCAATAGTGAAAATTTTATTTGTTTTGATATGAGAAAATGATTTTGCATTTAGTAGCCGCCGGAAAACGTAAATTTGCGTAATAATTTTGGACAATTTCCAAAAGTTGTACCAAAGCGAAACCTGACATGATGAAATGGCAAACTTTACTGAACACACTAACAAAATTTGACAAGTCCGTAAAAAAACATGACCGCCTTGGCATTAGAACACAATAAAATCCAATACCGCTTAAAGATCCTAAATAAAATCAAATATTAATTCAGAATACAAGCATCACATTTTCCCGATATCAACAATAGAAAACTCTCAAAGTCGCTACATGAGATTAAAACGAGCAACATTTATATTAAATGCATAATTAAATAGTGATTACAACTTATAATCCGGCATAGTGCAGGTGTTTAAAAATTGAAAAAATTAGGAAGGATAGAACAAAGCAACAGACAATTTTTTTATACTTCTGCATTCAAACTGATGTAAACGGCTGTTCTGAAAAACATAAATTTTTTCAAATATTGGTTGAAGAGATTTTGCTAATTTTTATCCAGATTCAGTACTCAGTCAGTAACATAATGAGAGTTATGTGTCAAACTGAAAGCAAGAAGATATGTTAACTTCGGTTGCACCGAAAGTTATAGGTAGTATTACCCTTCACAAATAAAAAGTTTCCACTTGATTTTGATCGTCGATATAGGCGGTTCCAACGGTAACTTCTTACGTATGCAAACTGTTAAATCGATATCTCAAAAACGAAGAGATAAGTTCGCGTCTATACGAACAGACAGACGGACCTGGCTAAATCGCCTTAGCTAGTTAAGCTAATTATTTATGGTATACATATATGAATATTTTATAGGGTCTCCAATGTTTCCTTCTTAGGGTTACAGACTTCGTGGCAAACTTAATATACTCTCTTCAGGGTATATTGACTGCATGCCTCGGGCAACGAATTATTTCCCATAATTAGAGATGAGTGGATTTGGTGCATCTAAGCTCTTTTGAATAATGCTGAATGAAATATTTGGTCTACACAAGCTAGAATTACCTGTTTATCTAAGACATCATCGAAATCTATTCAAATTAACTGATATTCACTATTTTAGTGCGAATAACAAGATTTGCTTCATTAGGTAACAGGAAAATTTTTAAAATAGGATATAAGAAGACAGGGAATCCAATTGCTGAATTTATTAGATATTCGATGCTGCATTTATTCTTCCCTATGTCTGGGCTGTCAAAGTTGCGTGTTTATTTCTCAGAATGTTGCCTTCTAACCTGAAAAAGTGCAACATTTTCTGCCCTTCTCAAAACGTAAGGGTGAGAGTTGCCCAGGCAATGTTATTTTTCGTTGTTGATATGTATTTTTTTAAATAAGCTTTATAGTAGATCCTACAAATGAGTTAGTAGAAATTTTTTCGTTCTTTTGTCATGTGAAAAATGAAACATTTGTATATACAAGTATACCCATCTCAAGGTGGGTAGCCAAAAATTAAAAAAAATTTGCACATGGTGTCACACCAAGAAGGGGAATAACTGGTTAAAGTTTGTATGAAAAAATGGACGTAAATCTAACTTACAATTGATTTACTGTATATATCTTATAAACTAGTAGAGCTTTGGCCAAAATAATGGTTTTATATTTCTATGTCGATAAGTTTAAAAAAAATAAAATGGAAATGGCAAAGCCTACTTTTAGAAGAAATGAAAGACCAGAAAGTACCATACTTGATTTAAATTCATCTTGAGCAATAAAAAAATAATATTTCTGCATATGCAAGAAGAATATTCGTGTGTTGAGTAAAGAAGAAATTACAAGCAAGCAAAGGCACGTGGAATCATATTTTTTGTTGAGAGTTTGGCAAGTAATATGACCCGTATTTTTATATGCGGGTACGAGTGTGAATTCGTTCTCCGTTGAGATATTTATATATAAGAATATTTGTATACCATACATATACTCATACGCACATATTTTATTGTTTTACTTGAAGCCTTCGTGAAGTACTTTCAAATTTTAAGAACAGCTTTCCTGAATGCATGAACATGAACTTAAAAACTCTTTTGATTACATTTTGCTCGAAATAAATTAATGGCATTACATGCATGCCACATGGACTGAAAAGTCTGTGGCCAACAACGAAAAAATGTTGTTTTGAATGAAAATATGGCTTTATTCTTTAACATATTCTTCATTTAAAAGGTAACGAAAGTGCATTTGTTGCAACCGATTCTCCGGTTGTTTCTATCGAAACCTCTATAGTTTAGTGAAATATTTTTTCCAGCATGCTTTTTGACATTTTAGCGAATGCAGGGTTGTTGTTGTAGCGGTTATCTAATTCCCGCTATGGTGGTAAGGATTATGTTCATACCATATGTTCTACATGGGCTGAAGTCTTCTAACTAACCTTACCTAAGATGTCAAATTTTTATGACATTTCATCCAAGCCTTCTCAAAATTATGAATTACATTGAATTTCGTTAGATCATTCAGTTTGTGAACCAACCGAAGAAGTACGGGAGCTATTTTATCCGGCAATTCACACTGCGTAGTACGAGTACGAGAGTAAGATACCTAACCAACGTCCTTAATCTGTCGCTGACCATTCTTCATATACCCGATGTGTGGAAAGTCGGAAGAGTGATCCTCTACTGAAATCTGGGAAACCCGCCAACCTAGGAGAGTCTTAACTCTCCTTTCCCCAGTAGTGAAAACACTTGAGGCCTTGATACTCCCGACCTTAACTCAACATCAGAGTCTAGCAGACCATCAACATAGCTTCATATAAGTATATATATTCACATATGTAGAACAGTTCTCGTCTTAAATTTCAACTCGCATAAGCCATAATGTCCTTATTTCGCACATTTAGGTGGTACATCAGACATATATAATATAAGACTTTGCTGCGATTGCAAAATACAAGCAATTTGCATTTCAATATATTTTGGGAAGTACATAAGTATGTACTTATGTACAAGAATGTGTATTTTGCGCGAATTATCCGGTATAATACGACTTTAATTATGTAAGCGTTTAAGGAGGCTTATGTAAGTATGTATATGCTTATTTTTGTTAACGCTGAATGTAAGATTGGAATATGAAAATGTTTTGTGAATCGAAAAAAGGTGCCCACACAGTTCATGCGCCTGAATACACAAATGTGTGCACAAGTAAATATATACTCGGGTTTTTGAATCTAAAGCTCATTGCAGAAAGTACGACATATCATATACTATCTAGATATATATGTATGTATGCACATGGATGGGAGTAATGCAGCCCCATTCCCATATCTACCTTATACTCACTATGCACATACAATTTTAACATATATTTCTTACTCTATTTACAATCAGGGTTTGCTTAAATTTTCTCCTCGTTACGTCAAGAGTATTAGGTTGATCGACTACGTAATACCTCATTAAGAACAGATTTTCTCTGAGATCGAAATTCCTGATTTGAGTAGAAGGAACCGACAGTACTGACTGCTAAATTAAGTTCAAGACCCCGAAAATCATTTACATAATTATTAAACGAAACTAAGAGTTCTAAAACAGAGTTTTAATAAGAGTTTCTTACACAACCCAGTGAAAATTGACATGAGAGTTTTACTATTTTTTGAACTGACTTTAACTTGAAAATGTATTTTTATAAGAGACTGAAATTTCGTATACTGATATGTTTTACTGTACAAGCGTTAGTGAATAACAATAATCCGACTACTGTACTTAGTCTTGCCATAAATTCTGTTACAAAGCTTACATTACATACTGGAATATTTTGCCAATGTTTGTTTACCGCACCATTGATCGTTTTGAAACATTTTTTTGTTTCGAGTAGAGTCGTCAATACCAATAGAAACTGTGCTTGCTGCTATTGATCAATTCAAAAAATGATAATTTCGAATACAATTTTGTACATCGCTCATTTAAAACTTGCGTTATTAAATAAATCTCACTATATTAAAAAATGTTATATAGTTTAATTTTTATAACGGCCTGAAAATGAAACAGAACTTATGGCAGGACTACATATATGTATATGTATATGAGATACGATGTCACTACTTTTTAAGAGTTTAACATAGTTGGTTGGTTAGTTACTTGTAACAACGCAAACTGCCGCACTTAAGCCAACGTTATTCTTATTGTGCTCACGAATACCATTCAACAACTCCTAAAATTCGATAAAATTCCGAATGATTGGAACTTTGTGAAAAATTACCTCGTCACAACTTTACTCGGCTTTCGTAAATCAGTTCCGCCCACACTAGTATTAACCATTGAATCCGCCAATTTCCGTGAATCACAACAAATACTTAAAAAATGCTGAAAATTTCACAGCTTAATTCCAGCTGGATATGCACATTTTCCTATTGTTCACGATTTCCAAGTATTGTTTAACTTTAATCTTCGTTGTTAAGCGCCACTACCTTTCGATAATAAGGAAGAAAAGTGCATTGAATTTCAGTGAAAGTAAGCTTAATGCAAAATATTAGATGGAAAAACTTAAATAACAATACAAATAAGAGATTACAGAATAATACTATACAAAAACTTAAAATCAAGCCTACAAATATGCATACCTCTATGTTGGAATAAAAAAGGTCGAAATTAAAAAATCAGCAAGAAAGAGAACTTGCAAGCGCTTAATCGCCTCTCGATAATATCTCAATTTAAGGAATTATTAAATCGATTCAGTCGAGTATATCACAATATTTATTCCACTGGCCTTGTTGGCCACTCGCCCTTTGATAGTAAATGACGATAACATGGAAAAAGTAGAGAATCCCAACATCTCTTGTTGAACGATTTAACATATTTTGGTTAATGTTTTAGACGCGTACCAAAAGACCTGAATCTTTTGCACGACGTCGATTAGAGGTTGCGAAAGGGATGCTTCACAACGCAGATGAAGACATCAACACATACCAATCCATAGTACGACGTTGAAACTGCCCAACAATCTAACGAACGTCGCTCCAAAAATGAGTCGAAACCGAAAAACCCAAAATTCGCTGAAGGTAGTGAAGGCCAATTGATTCGATGCTTATAACAAAACACTCTTTATGCCAAATATATCGGTCGATCTAACTTAATTTATCAAATTTGATGGAAATATGTTTGTGTAATGCCAAAAGTAAGTGGAATCTGCTCAGTATACCCAACGTAATGATATCAAAATTTCTGTTGACTTTAAGCTGTTTATGTCGGTTCACTTGATTTTTAAGTGGACATGTATATAATTTAGCGTCAAATTTCAATGAATTCGGTCTAGACTCATATCCGTAATATAATGATTTCCCCTTCTCCCCCTATGTATCTCAATAAATGAACGGGAATATTTTTATTAGCATCATGTCGTTTAGTAGTAATAATTAGAGATCCTTACCTAAGCAGTAATAGAATGAATATAGCGATTTGTGTTAGCTAAGCTAATTTTAATATGAATTAAATTCTATTAAAGGAGCTAAATTAGTTCGTGACCTATGAGTATATAGGTAACTAAAATCCCAAATAACATATTATTTTAATCGATTCCAGAATTTCGGCGAATAACGAAAGTGCAATTCATATGCATTTTATAAGACCATTGTAAACTGCGAGAGTGCATAAAGTTCGGCTTCACACAAACTCAGCCCTTTTTAATTTTTTATACCATGAACATGTTGTATTAAGATTTTCACGAAGGACTTTGGAGACTTTATAAAAGATATATCATATATACTCGTAAATGATAAACATGCCATGAGTCGATTTAGCCTCGTCCGTCTGTCTGCCTGTATATACACGAACTAGTCCCTCAGTTTTTGAGATATCGATCTCGATTAAATTTTTCACTCTTTTCACTCTAAGTAGATGCTCGTTTGTCGGAAAATCTGATTTCGGACCACTATTGCATATAGCTTCCATTCCTTGCGTGGAAAACTTTTTTATTGGACGAGATATCTTCACGAAATTTAGAATGAATTATTGTCCATGTTTAGGATTAGGTTAATTTAAGAGGCCGACCCTAACATGGATCTCACTTGCACAGCTTAGAACGCCAGTCCGTTGTGGTACCTAAAGTTCTTATACAATCATAATACGACAAAGGGGCCGTCCATAAATTACGTCATCGCTTTTTTCAGCCGACTTTGTTTAAACAGCGCCGATTTCTTTTATTCTCCGAGTCGCCGCCAATCTTCGTTTAATAAACACAGTGTCGCATACAAACTATTTTCATAGGTCCGATGTTATTTATAGTTTAAAAAAATAATGTAGACATGCCTTGACCTTGTAATAAATAAATAAATAAATAATGAGTTCAATAATTAATACCATTAAATACTTGCAAAATATCACAAGAACATTCCTTAGTATGAGACATGTATTTAAGTATAAGTATAGTATTAATATGTACTTTTATTAATTATGTAATGTTGTAGTTATTATTTAAGTATTGTGTTTATTAGTATGCTTAGATCTTTAAAACTACGCAACGGATTTTGATGCGGTTTTTTTTAAAATAGATAGACTGATTCTTAAAGAAGGTTTATATGTATAATACATGTAAGTACCACGGGGCGGGCAGCTAGTATTTTACTAGGTGTGCTGGAAGAAATTTCTTTTTAGAAATAATCTTTTTGTACGTGAAAAATAAACTATAAATAAATAAATAAGAATGACGTCAATTTCGAAACCCCCCCCCCCCCATCTATTATTTACCGTCATCCGCAGACCAACCTCCCCTAATTTAGAATGACGTAATATATGGACGGCCCCAAAGCGCTTTGAGTCTATGTTATCACATATTTGTTGAGACGACTAAAGTCAGTTTCGGCTATGTCTATTGGTTCGCCTAAGCTAAAACCACCTCTTCCATACAACTGAATGCCTATTGGACAATGTCCAGTAATAACCCCTACGATTGCGGCCCACGAGGTCCATTGGCCCAGTGCTACAAGGCAAAATGCCAATGGAGAACCAATTCGGTTCCATTCCGATATAGGCGGGGCAAGGGTGCCCCTCTGGCGAGCTAATCGGTTTTGCGATTCCATTACGACCAGGCACCCAAACGAGTCTGATGATGAAGTAGCTCGCTGCTATTTCTAGTGAGGAGAGACACTCTTTGACTAGGTTTAAGCCCACAGTTAGCGAGCGAAGCGCTAGTATTGGCACTCTCCTGTCGAAGAGTATTATAGCTTTGGTTAAGTTAAAGTGTTTCTTGTTAAGTATTAGAGAAGTAGATAAATGTTTTTACTTTATGTTTTTGCTGTAATTTGGTAATTTAATATTTTATAATAGTTAGGAAACCTAAAGAAATGTAGAATAAAGACTTAGTGATTTAGGTTTAGAAGTTAACATGTCAGAGCATTTTTTTAATATGGAAAAACTGAATATCGCGCAGTGATTAGATTCTTTGTTTTCAAAGGTTTAAAACCAAAAGAAATTTATGAAAAATTGTTAGAAGTATAAAGAGTCTTCAACTTCAAAACGCACCATTGAATTTTGGATGGTGGAGACCAGAAACCATTGAGCCAGTTCATAATATTGTTAGTAAAGATTCAAGTTTGACTAAATGTAAAACTGCTAATGCCATAGGCATCATATTTTACATGGAGAATTACTTATGAAAAATCTGTTTGGAAAGTTATTGCCGCACACGTTAAAAATTCAACAATATCTGGATCGAATAAAACCGATTTCTTGCGTCGTTTTATAACTATGGACAGGACTTGAATCCACCACAATGGTCCTAAATTAAAACGAGAACGTTTACAGAGGACTGAAGCTGGTTGTTTAGCTCCAAAGCAGGTGAAGTCACAACGATCAGCAAAGAAGGTTATGGCATCAGTTTTTTGGAATGCAAAAGGAATTTTGTTGATTGATTGTCTGCAGAAAGGTAAAAACATCAACTCTGAACATTACTGCAGGCTTTTGGATCAGCTAAAACTGATCACCAATACAATGCACCTGTTCACAAAGTACGACTTGCACCGTATTCACCAGATTTGGCTCCCAGCGACTACTACCTCTTCAGAAACCTGAAAAAATTTCTTCGGGAAAAGCGTTTTTCGTCGAATGACGAAGCTATTACAGCCGTAGACGGATATTTTGCAGAGTTTCCGGAAAGACATTATAGGGATGGCATAAAATTATTGGAGGAACATTGGAATAAGTGTATTGAAGTAAAGGGAGATTATATTGAATAAAAAATATATTTTGTACCAAAAACAGTATTTTTTCATTTCGAGTGCAGCAACTTTTCAACCAACCTGTATATATATAAATTCTAGCGTATTCTTTGAGCAACTTGCTAAAACTGTTGTTATTGCAAAGAACCAATTGAACTATTGATGCACAAATAGGCTACAGACTCGACAACTATATGAATGTGAGTACATGTAGGTACAACGTTCGATGTGTTTTACGTGAGTACCTGCTGTCGACGGCCTTACCTCAGGGTGCTCCAAAGCACAACGTATCAAAACAATGCGTTGATAAGCGCCCCAAATAATACGAGCTATTTGAAAGTATTAATTTGGTTACCAGTGGCCCACTGACCATCTTGGTAGGATTCGAGGCCTACCTAAAATGAAAATTTAGTTCTTCCAGCATTTAGGTTTAAACCATAGCCACCACGATACTCCCCAAAGGGCCGAACCCAATGAGCAGATTGAACCGAAGTACAAGGGCATTCTGCTCCCCGTGGTACCAGAGTTGAGTCTCCGGTAAGACTGTGTATCCGAAGCTACTGCCAGTTGAGCTCCGCCTTACTCAAGGACTGGTGACATTTGTCGCTTGAACTTCAAATGTCTTTTTATTTGGAATCTCATTTAAAGTCTATAATATTAGTTCAAGCTGAGTACTATGGCACTATTTCTGACATCATTTACTATGCTGACATTTCTGGGCAAAATAAAATAACAGTCATAGTGCATTTGGCTTTTAGTCGCCTCTTACGACAGGCATGCCTTACCACGGGTAAATTCTTACCCCTACCGGCAGGGGAAAAATGTAGGTACCTATAATAACCACAACCAAAAAAGCCAAATTCTCAATCTAGGCCGTTCAACCAACGGCGAGCAAAATTTTGAATGTCTATTGAGCCGCCAACTAATAGGTAAAAGTGTAGAGAAAGGAAATAACAACATCACATGTTAATCTCTTGTTGTAGTACTCACCATGCCAACCGCAACCTGTCGCGCTATATCCAAGAGATCGGTGGTGCTCAAAGGCTGACGGCGCACGCTTCCACTTAAGTCATCATGGTCGAAATTGTCGGGGGTGGTAGCAGCGCTGGTCACTGTAGTAGTCGTGCTGTTTTCGGTAGGTGGCAACGCTAGCGCTCTGTTTCGTGCCGCAGCACGTGCTTGACGCCTTTGCCATTGACGTTGGCGCAGTGCCGCTTCACTCACAATTTCAGGTACAAACCTAAAATATGATTTATTTGCAACCCCACCGGCCGATTTCCTCGCACTTTCGGTTACCACTTGTTGTTGTTGTTGCGCTTTCGCGTGACCCTCATTCAATAAATTTTGATGGCATTCACAATTTCTCGCATGCGTGTAGTGACCCTCTTTTTTCTGTTGCTCTCCGTGCTCGTTATCAAACTGTTGGATTGCCGCCTCACTTCTCGCAGTGTTACCGTTAAGCACTTTCGGGATCTTAACACACTTGTTACTCTTGCATGAGTTGCAACAGATTTCCTCGTATCCGTACGATTTGTTGTCTGCGGCAATGGAGTATGGCGACAGCAGCGGTGTGGGTGGCGGCGGTGGCATGCTGTCGTTTATGGTGGTAATCGACGTCATCGTAGTCGCCGTGGATATATCATATGTTGGCCGATAGAGGGTTGTTGTTGTTGCTGTTGTAAGACTATTTCGCTGTTGCAGCGCGTTTAGATTTTTATATTTGAACTTGAGTCGCTCAATGATGTTGCCGTCAATGCTGAAAACCTTAGCACCTTCCTCGGTGCCACAACCCCCGCTTCTGCTGGTGTAGCTATGGTCAATGGAGTTGCGTTGGCTGTTGCTGTTGCTATCGCTACGATTGTGTCGATGCGTTTGCGAAACGCTATGGCGCCCACGCCTCTGATGTTTTTTGGCGCCGTGCCGACTCAATCGGCAGCACATTCGATTTATTGAGGCGCTGCTGCATTTTACATTCATGTCGTACAAATATTTCCATTCATCTCTGCAACGATAAATGGGCCACACATGATGCGGGCGAATGAAACAATATTAATTCCGAAAAAATCCATGCAAACAGTATGTATGAATGTATGTGAAGCGAAAATAGTAAATATTGGCATACCGACCGAAGGCACGTGCATACTAGTGCCTGGTCCAAACTAAACTTCGACATTTTTCTGGCTTCGTGTGGGAATTCGCCTATTTAAATGAATTTCATCATTTTTTGCTAAGCTTATTGGTTATTGTTCGTATTTAAAGTGGAACAATTTTAAAATCGGCATCAAAATTAAGGTCTTGCCGACTTGATTGAAATGATCAGAGTAAAGAGCTGAGTCGATTTAGTCATGTCCGCCTGTTTTTTTTTTACGCGAACTAGTTTCTCCGTTTTTGAAATATCTGTCTGAAATTGGGCATGCGTCGTTTTTTCCGAAAAAAGCTACTTACTTATTTTTGCTTTACACTCAATATCAAAAATCGTATGTCAATTAGTGTATGCTTGGCAGCTGTTTGTATACGACGCAAACAGTTTTGTCTAGAGATCGCTATATTTTAAGGTTAATTGAAGCATATATTCGAAAGTTATATACTCAATTTTATAACGGCCATACGGATAGAGAACACAGTAACGTTGAATTATTAATCAAAATTCAGTAAAGTAATGTATTGAGAAAATTAAATTTTTAATCGAAAAATCAAATTCTAGTCAGAATAAATTTTATATCGAACGAAAGTAGATAAAATTGATTATCACTATCAAAGAAAACATTTTTGTGTGAAGACAGCGACAAGCGAATTTTTCCATGTTTAAACTAATTAATTTTTTTTTTTTCAAGTGAAAATCGAAAGCTTTACCGTTCAGGTAATACACCTGTCTTCTTACATTCGCCATTTCTCTGCTCACTTCTGCTCTCTTGTTAAAAAAAATTACATGTAAAAGCAACAACAAAGTTATCGAGTTGAATTCGTACAAGAGAGTATGTGGATACCTCATTAAAATGGAATGGCTATCTTCAGTACTACCAAGTTTTGTTTTGCACAGTTTAGATCAGTTTTAACGTGAAAAAAATAAATTCTCGACATAAAAAAATAAATAAAGAATCATAACACACGTGCATACGTTGGAAGACATGTTAGCGCAGGGTTGCACCAGCAGTGCTGCCTGTTTGTTTGAGCATCTGGTATAGCTTGCTCGATTCTCTGGGGAGTAACGCTTGGGAAAACGAAGACAGCTTATAATATCTGTAACCTAAAAGTACAATGCAATGTGTATTTCGCAGGCACTACAAATACAATAGCAACGCAACTGTTGAAAATACATGTTTTAGTGTATTCCGAAAGGATAATTTTATAAAAGAGTACAAAATATATATCGTTATATCGGACAAAATTAATAACAATTTTATACATACATTTAACCAATTCGCACTTGACTTGACCAGACATAAGCCATTACAATTTCATAAATTTTTGTTCGCATTACTCTACCTATTTTTTACGATATCTTACATCTTTCTCGACTTTTCCAATTTTTCGAATATACTTGTCACAAAACAAAAAAAAGGATTTTAACTCTTAAAGATTGATAAATATCGGATATTCCAGATCTAATTAACATTTATATACATAATTTTAATTCAAACCAAACTTTCGGCTTAATGCTAATTGGGTTGCTGAAGCCACAACTTAATTTTCCTGTTATGGTTGCGGTCGATTGTGGCGCAACACATTTCTTTGTGTCGGTTTCCAGACCAGACCAGAAGACACACATTTTCATAATCGCCTACGTAAGATATCTGCATAAAGGTAAACAACAAATATCGCAATTTGATATTTAAATCTATTGTGCCTGTTCTCAATTGGTGAAAACATGTATTTTCTGGTGAACATACATAGATACATAAATCAAAATATATATATCAAATAAATTATAATTAGGTGTTGCTAAATATGTATACTCTAATCAAAATCATAAAAGCAAAATCATAAAGCATTATATTATGTAATCGTCAACGTACGAGTTTATTATGATAATGCAAACAGACGATACTAATACTAATACTTCAGTTATAGTTTGACGCCGAACTACTTATACATACTTAGTTGGTCGACAATGGAATGAAAAATCAAAAGCAAAAGGATTAAGTTGTGCTTTGATAGGATTGCTTCCAGATAAAGACCGGCTGCTTACATGGCTGCTAAAGGATTAAGATGTTGTTTGCCATCCCCATCGGATGGAGCCAGACAATGTAACTGTCGCTTCATTACCCAGCGTTGATAAACTACCAGGGTATGGCTAAAACAACAACAGGCACATACTTGTATACTAACGTTAAGCTCAAATGAGTGCTAAGACAACCCATTACAAAGTGACTTTAATAAAAAGTGTTTTTAGATTTAAGAGAAGAGATTAATACAGACTGAAGAGTATGTGGATTAAATTCCTGTTTAAGAACTGATGTTCTACATAATGTTTATTCTAATAGTGAGCGTTTCTCGAATTTATATTTTTTTGAAAATTGCCGATTTATTCATCAAAATATCTGTTTTGTCCCCTTCAAAGTAATCCCTCTCGGATATGATATACTTGTGCCAAGGCTTTTTCCAATTCTCGAGGCACTTCTGAAATGCGCTTTTCGGTATTCGGCCATTAGCTCTTTTTTCGATTCTGACTTGATATCATCAATTGTGACAAAACGCTTTCCTTTCATTGGCTTCTCCAGTTTTGGGAATAGGAAAAAGTCGCAGGAAGCCAAATCTGGTCAATCGGTGGTTGAGGCATGATAACGGTTTTGTTTCTGGCCAAAATATCACGAATAAGCATTGATGTGTTAGCTGGTGCATTATCGTGATGCAGAACAAACTTCTCTGTTTGGTGATTCGACGATTTGCAAGAACAATTTTTTTCACTGTTTCGATGTTTTCTTCGCTTGTTGACGTGGTCGCACATCCAGGATGATCGTCATCAACATCTTTTCGGCCCTCTGTCAAGCGCTTGTACCACTTATAAACACTTTTTTGACACAAAGTGAACTCACCGAATCCTACTGTCAACATTTTAAATGCCTTGAAGCACTTTATTACATTTTTAACGCAAACTAATACATATTCTTTGATCCATTTCTTTCAAAAGTCAAAAATCGAAGAGCACATAAAAACGTGACTAACCTTTGTTGTTGTTACTGCAAGCACATGATAAACATATTTGTCCGATTATAACAAAAATAAAATATCGATAATCGAATGTACACAGCCCGAGAAAAATAAAAATTGACCTTTTCCTTCGAACAAACCTCGTATACATAGATTTGTAAGATAATATTATTCATGAAACTAGTCAACACCATGAAAAAACGTTAACTTCGACTGAACCGAATCTATAATACGCTTCACGAACAGTTTGTATGATAGTTTTATGCTATAATATTCCGATCCGAACAATTACTCTGAATATTGTACCGTTGCCTTATACAATAATCCATTCCATATTTCGTGATGATATCTCGTCAAACAAACAAATTTTCACACACGGGCAGATGTATAATTGATCGTTCGGTGACAAAGTGGTCCGATATCCAACAAATGAGCAGATTCTTCGGAAGAAAATTGCGAGTGCAAAATTTCAGATCAATATCTCAAAACTGAGGGACAAACGGATATACCTAACTTTATACAGCTTATCATGCTGATCATTTATACACATACACATTTTATAGGGTCTCCGACTTAATACGCGTAAATTGTTTTTTTTTTTAATTTTTAGTATTATTATTAGTAGTTTTTTATGTTTTACTTAACGAAAATTATGATTTCGATTCGATTTAATTCTATATTTAAATGCTTGCTGCTCTAACTAAAATTTCAAAAACAAATAACGTAGAATTTTGATGCGTTTTAAGTTCCATAAATGACATTTGAAATGAAGTGTTTCATTCTATTTTTAACCATATGTATATATTATATAAAGCGAAACTCTGCAAAACGTAAAACATTTTCTGATTTCATTCAGTTTGCCTTTCAAGTAGTCTATACACATATTTTATTCGGAAATATAAAACTATGCAATTAAATACAAATTTAATTATCTTTTATACAGTACAAAAATATATAAAAAATAATTAAAATATAGTTTTTAATATCAAACAACCATTGTCATATAAAGATTTCACAAAAAAATTACCTTAAAAAATCCAGCAAATTTCCGAAACTGCAGTATTCCGTCAGCAAGAGCATTTCATTGTAACGCTTTGTGCAATGTCCAATGATGCCAACAATATTCGGATGCCGCTCCACCGATTTCATTACTTCGATTTCACGCCGGAAAGCGCGCACATCATCGACCGAAGGACGATCTATTCACAATTAATAGCAGAAGTTTATATAATTAATGCTCGTGTGTACATAATTATGCATAAGTATATATTTGGGTAAAATATTAATAAAGTGAGAATATGTGCACATTATAACATGAACTTTGTAAGTGAATAGTACAATAGCTGTGGAAATGCCTAACGTCATACCTTTCAACATTTTGACAGCCACTTCGCGAACGCCGGATTTGCCATCGTTGTATATACCACGCCGCACCAAGCCAAACGCGCCCTCACCCAGAATTTCGTGCAACGTAATATCGTTGCGGTCGATTTCCATGGCATCGTTGAAAAATATTTTCTCCTCAAGATCCAATTGAAACTGGGTCAGGTCTTCCGGTGAGGTGAGCAAAGTTTTCGTTGGGAAGTCAAATGTCCCCTTTGGATCGATAGGCGCTTTATTTTCAAGGTCCTTAAAAAAGTCAAAGATACACATATGTGTTATGAATGGAAGCACCGCAAAACCGCAAATGATATTTTCATTAAAATTTTAGCGCATTATTTCTATGTATGTGTGTGTCCAGGGTCCGTGAGTGTGGGTAGGCCGTTTAAAATACGTTGAAGTGCGTATAAAAAATAAATTGAGATTACTTGCGCTGAACTTGAAGCAAATTGCTTGTTGCATGAAGAGGGGCCCTATCCACTTTCGTTTCGTATTTCACGCAAGCATATACCTAGGCGTCGGGACGTTAATGAAGTAGCAGGCACCACTCTCCAAGTATGCGCTGACTTGTGTGTTTGTATGAATACAGCCATTTGTGGCTAATTAATTGCCAAATGCTGTTAAGCTCAATCATTTGGCCACGCGTGCTGCATTGGTGAGTATTTCAAGTGTCTCCACACAGGCAAGTGTCGGCGGGTAAAAAAAGCAACTACGTAACTGAATATTATAAAAATACAATAGATACACTGTGACGACTATTATTGAATTACTTACTAGTTCTAAATTTTGAGTTAAAAAACATTACTACAGCATCTCTCAGTATACGCCTCTAAATATATATTTGAAGTAATTGGATAATGAAATGATGTATTTTAATATTGATACTATTCACTTGGGCAAAATACTGAAGGAAAATTGCATTAATTTTGGTTGGATCAAATATACGTTTTTATTAGATTTTGAAATTCAAGATAACTTTAAGAACTTTTTTATATAACCGTTGTATGAGAGAAGAGTTTGATTGCTATCCGACTTTATTTTTATTTTTTGAAAGATACTTAAAGGTAAGCTTGGGTTATACGGTTTTTAAGTTCTTGGAGTACGTGTATTACACTTTTTATAGGCAAAACCATGGCCTGTTTTGCAAAAAATTAAAAATTCTCTCATTGCAATGATCCTTTATACCAGATTTAGGTTTTTTGGCATGATTTGTGATTTTGTTACAGCACTAAATTTTTCGGTAAAGGTATATTTGTGGGTGTGGTAATCATCCGATTTCGCTCATACCAACCTCTTTAAACACGTGCAACGAATTTTACCAAGATATCTCAATTTTTAATCAAGTTATCACTTACACAAACAAACGTACGGACAGAAAAACAATCGAATTTCAAATTGTCTCATCATCCTCTTTAATTTGATATATATATATATATATATAGATATATATGAAAATAATGGGTAAATCTTCGTTACTTCTTTAAAAATTAATATCACATAAAATTACAGTCAATGGACGCTATAGAGCCTTGATTAATGACTTTTTTTTGCCTGAATTGGAGAATATTGATGTGGACGAAATTTTTCCAACAAGACGGCACTACATACCATTACATTAAAAAACATTAAATTATATGTGTTTTATTTCTTCTTCAAAATTACATGTCTAAAAGTAAACTTTCTTTATAACTCTAAAGGTTTCTTTCGTTGTTTGTTGTTTTAGGTGTTACAAACACGCGTTATGGTTAAAAAACTCTTTTACTCTTTGCAACATGTTGCGAATAATTCTGCTGAGAATTAATAATTTTCCATAAAAATTTGGTAGTTCCAAGATTTAATTCAGAGCATACTGTTAAGCCGTCTATTCTATATTTAGTTATTTATTCTTAAAGTCTTTGACTTACCTGAAAATATTCGCAACGCTTCTGATGTCTTCTATATTTTGCACACCGATGGTGAAGGAAGATCCACATGACGATAATGGTGAGGAGGCCGATTGGTCCGCCGATCACTAGAAAGGCAACACTTGTGCTCTTATCTGGCTTCCGCGAAATTAAAGACGGTAAACAACGAACAGTATGTAAGAAGGGAAAAAGAACAAGTGTAAAACAAATTAAAAACACTATGCAAATGACAAATGTTAATAGAAATTAATTGCTGTACATAAAGTAAGTAAATAAATGGTGGCGGTAAAGTGTTTTTGTTTTTACGTTGTAGTAGCAGAGACATAAAGCATACCAAAATAACAAATAATAGTGGCATAAAGAAAAAATTAGCAGTTACCCGTGGGAACCGGGAATCCATTTATTCAACTTTGTGAACCGAATGACAAAAGGGCAGACTCCGCTAATCTATGTATGAATACAAATTTTTCAGAATTTTACTCCATTTATTATTTTATTCTTAAAAGTTTTTATCGTAAACGTTTCGGAGAAAGCTTTTGTAGTGTGATAAAGCTGAAAACCTTTACCAGACTTTATTGACGAATTTTAAGATACATGGCTTTTTGCAGAAAAGGGTTTAAGTTACAATTAAAAGTAATAGTACAATATTCTCTTTAGAGCTACTGGTGAAATCATAATATAATTTACGCAGATATAGAATTATACAAATCAGAAAATTGAGGCGAAGCAATTTCGCTAGATCTTTTCAACAGCCTTACGCGAACAATAAGGAATAAATGAAGAAAATTTGAGATATTAAGAAAACAGGGTCTACCCCCTTTGAAGTGGAAATAAAGAGTGACTTGCATGTAGATTTGAAAATTTGTGTAATGCAAGTGGGTTGTTACAACTCCCACCAACCATATTTGAAATTTTGCGAATCTTTATTTATTCGGCTTTATAATATAGGGTATGCGTTATTTTTTAAGTTGATTGTATATTTGCAAAGGCAAAGAAGTTTCAATTTTTGCTCTAAAAATAAGGATCCAACGTAACCAAGCTCTTTATTTTCAATTTAAGCCATGCTTAAATCATATTGCTATTACCCTTGTATATAACATGGGAGTTTTTGGTATATGCATTAAGTAAGTAAATCTATAACTTTACGAAATTGATATTCTGATACAAAATTTAGCGCTCTACAAAAAAGGGCGTGTTGAGTTTTTCCATTAAAACAATCCTTTAAAAGTTATACGCAGTTAAAGTTATATATACAAGTATGTATATCAAATGACCTGAGCATTCATACAAGTGATTTACCATAAAACATAGTACATTATGCGTTGCTCATACCACATGAGGTATTATACGATATACTTTTTCTTTTTTTATAGAGTATAAAAAACAGCACAAGAGAAAAAAATCAGAAAAATATCAAAATTGGTTTTATTCGTAGCTAAAACTAAAGTTTTAATAACCAGATCTTGGACTATTATATTTTTTTGCTTTATAAAATATGAAAAATTATATCAGGCGTATTTAATATTGACTAATCTTGCTCTTAACAGTTACAATTTTAAAGTAATCTAAGCCACGTTCAAAAACAGTACTATTTGGGTAATTAAGAAAATTTCAAAGGAAAAATTCACTCATTTCATTTTATTTTCACGGTCTTCACAAATAAAGTCTTAAAATTTTTTATTCATTGTCATATACTAATTATTTAAGCTAAATTGCGTTTGAATACTAAACACGATTAGTTAATTTTCCTCTTAACTAATTAACCCATTTGAGCATGGCATTAAGCAAATACGATTGGATTATTGAAGAAGCCCTTTTTAACTAGTCTGTGTTTGGAAGTTTTCCGAATTATATGTATGTATATGTATGTATTACCTGGCAAAACTACAGTTTGACTGTTGATCTCCTGCAGAACGGTGGTAGTGTTGCCACCCGGGGTGCAGGCCATCAAATGCACATCATATAGTGTACCGTTTAGTTCGATTTCTTCTATTAAAAATGTTATGCTATCCTGCAAAGAATAAGAATGGGTTTATATGGTAAATTTACATTTTTGGTTTTCATTATAAATACAAAGTAAATTCAGTATGGATAAAAAGGCGCATACTTTGCATTATGAGAAAAAAGAATGTCGCCTGAAAGAGTGTTGGGGAGTTAGGAAATTCTTTTTCATTACTTTAATATGAAGAAAACCTCAGCCGAAACTCATTGTATTTTGGTGGAAATTTATGATGATGGTTAAAAGCGATTTGGAATAACAGCGGCTAGGAAGCTTTCCCTGACCTTGCCCCTTCTGACTACCAGTTGTTCCGGTCGAATGGTTAAAGTCTGCGAAGAGTGCAGTGTGAAATGAAATCATATCATATAACACATTTAGTAGAAAAAAAATAAAAATACAATAAAATATCTCTATTTTAAAGTACTCCAATAAATATTTTATATCTATTTTGCGGTCGGTGCTTTGCTATTGATTTTAAATTTACAATTTTTCATTCAAAAAAATTTAAAAAAGGTTTCAAACTAATTGTCAAAAGTGCACATATACATTTTGTGTACTTACCTTACTAACATTAAATTTATAATCACGTCCAACACCTATACGATCCACCACAGTTATGATGTAGTAGCTTATCGCATGCTTAGCCTTTTTCCAACTAATATATAGTGAATAAATATTTCCTCTGACATATTTGCGCTTAACTTTTAATCCTTTGGGGGCAAATGGTGCTAATAAAAAATAAATATAAAATATTAAATTGTTTATTTATATAATGTTAATCTTTAATAAAAGTAAGGATAATCTTTATTTTAAGAAGTAGAACGGGTTTAGTTAGGACACCTTTTTACATACTCTTAAAAATTTTAATAAAATAATGCCGTTCTCATAAATAAATTAAGCCATATTTATAATAATCTCTCACTAATTACCTAAAATAATAATATTAAATTTAACCAGACGATGAGCAAATTATTACTCTAGAGTTGGTTAGATAAATGGATTTCAGTAGACATAGACTAATGCCATCTATTATCTACTTTTGCTTTACATTATGTTATAGATAAGACATTGGTTTATAATTACGTAAACGTGGCGAAATTTGTTGACCGATTTCATATCAGTTTCGGTAGCAGACCTCTCTATATAAAGGGTAGTTAAGTCACCCGTTAGTTCATGGGGGCGGCCAGGCCTACCTTTGAACAACAATATATTCATATATTATTTTTGATTACTTAACATCATTCAAAATATCTTTAGTTTTTACAGAATAACAGCATCTTTTTTGTATAACGACATATTATGGACATGACAAGTGTCCAATATTTATCATTTGGTATAACTACCAACTTGAATGCTGATCACATTATCCCATTCTTTCCTATAAATATCCATATGTCCAGGAACACAGGAACTTAAAAGGTAATAAAGGCGGAGCCGACGAAATAACCGTATAAAAGTTTGTCGAATTTTAGGCAGACATCGAAACTAAGATGCTTGGAACCCGGATTCGAATTGCAGCAATTTCTAAAGTTTCTAAAAGTTTGTTGTTTATATTTCTTGGCGTGCAGGTAGGCGTATCAACATTATTCAAGGATGGTTTTCAAACTAACAACAGTTAATAAAGAACACTGCCTAAGAACATAGATTAATAAATGCAATCTGGATTGGATTCGCTTACAAGAGAAAGTGTCGCAGCTGCTAAGAAGACAGCAAGAAAACATTTTCTCTCTGGCATTTTGTCTCTCCAATCCGCACAGATATACTATAACTGAAAAACAAATAACAAGGAATAGAAAAAATTTTGTGCATTGATTTCATAAGCATATAGTAAATTAAATATTTTAAAGAAGGGCGTGTCAACGTTAACTATAATATTAATATATAAGTACTTGTAAATGTAGTTAAATGAACTAAATTTTTTCAGAGAATTGACCATTAATAGAATATCGATAAGTATATAAGCAAAACTCAATACACAAGTTGTCACACTGACATTCTTTTTAATATTGCTACACATACAAAAGTACTACTCAGGTGCTTGCAACATGCCTTGACTGACACCCAACTCCGTACGTGACTTTTTGGACTTCTCATTTAGACAACAACAGCAGTAACCAGCATAGACACATACATACATACAGTCTACCCTTTTACGAAATCGTATGTAAAATAATTTAAAATTTCTTTTTTTCATTATAAGATGAAACTCTGCTGGCTCAAACTTAGCTACGCCTTATTTACTTTCTATTGTACTCCAGAAAAAAGAAGATTCCATAAAGTAGTTACCAAAGCAACTAAAGAGACCTGCTTTTTCCACAGTGTCAGATTGTTGGAAAAGTTATTTACAATATGAAGAATCTCTAGCTGTAATCTTAGCATATTTCCATATCCAATATCTGCAGTTTGCATTTACTTTAATGACGCACAGCTTAAGGTAAAACAAGTTCCATGAACAGAAGAATTTAAATGCATTGAATTTGCTGGACTCCAATGCATTTAAAGCGTCTGCAAATAAGTTTATAACCAACGTTACCACTGCTAGACGTGATCTCACCAATTATAAACCGAAAAGGGATGATTAATGCTTCAAAGAATTGTTTAGTATTATGCATTGTCGTATCTCCCTTCACTTCTTGTAATAATAGTACTGCAATGCTGTACAATGCAACTAAATTTAATACACATTTCAACCGATATTGTTCAGTGTTCTCATCTACCGCTTGGTGGTTAGAATTCGCAGTGATTACCTCTATTATCAATACAAGTGCTCGCATATTTACTCAGGAACATACTGTAGTGGTGTTGGCTTAAGAGGGGTATAGCGGTATGCAAAGGGGGCTTTCCAACCATATGGAGCGGTATAGCTACACAATTACTATCAATGTATTCAGATTAGTTAATGTCACTATTGCCTAAGTGTTAGATTTAGGTTCTGCGAAAGATTTCTTGTGTTGAAATTGATGCGATACAATTCTATTTTCTTTCAGTCATAGATATCGGTCTATACCTTCGCTTGGTATACATATGAAGAATGTACTCTTTTCAGTTTGTCAGGATTATTATAGATATATATTAAGATTGCGACGGAATTTGTAACACCCAGAAGGAAATGTCGAAAACCCTATAAACTGGGTCTAATCACCATTTACTTAACTTAAAAATGGGCCATTTCTCTGTATTTATATGGGAAAAATTGCTGGGGACACACTAATTATGTTTAAATGTGTATTTTAGAGATAAGAAACAAAAACACACCAACAAAAATTAATTTGAAGTACATACATACAAAGTTAAGTGACTTTCACTAAAATGGAAAAAGGTATGAAGTATTATCATGCGGTTATTTTAAGTTTGCAATTAAAAATAAATGTTCATAAAAACCGCAAAACAAATTTTTGGAAGAAGGGAGGGTTCTTCAGCCCAGTAACTTTAAGTCCACTCCAAAAAAAGATCAGCAGTACACACACACCATTAAGAGGCATTCAAAGTTCTTGATGTTCACTTCTTGATGTTCAGTAACTGCAACAAATATTTCGGATTAGATCCTTGCTAAGAGTACCAGTAATTAGAGACCAATTGATGCAATTTATTCCCAGCCCCAAATATAAAATGAATCATTATATTTAACGCCTGACCAGGCAATGGATACTATTGCAGATACTGGTATCCTGTACACCAAACAAAAAATACAAAGAGAACAAAATAACTCTTCAATAAGAAATGAAGGAAAATCAAAAATGCTAAAAAATGCTTATGAAAATTTTAGATTGAAATTTCTTTCCTTATCGACGTCGATAAAACAGTTTCCTTATAGTAAAGCAGGGTATCGATGGCATTAATGATCGCAAGAAAATTTTCGATTGAAACTTTTTTACATGTCGAATTCGATTTTGATGAATTTGAACTCCGTCTGTCCTTCTGTATATACGCGAACAAATTTCTCAGTTTTTGAGATATCGATGTGAAACTTTGTTAAGCCCTTTTCTCCCCAAGAAACTGCTCACTTTTCGGAACCCCCGATATCGGACCACTATAGCATATAGCTCTCATACAAACTGAACTATCAAACTCAAGGTCATGTATAAAACCCTTCTTAATTGGAAGAAATTTATTATGGATAAAGCAACGATACAATCTCCGAAAAAATTGTTAATATTAGATCACTATAGGATATAGTTGCCATACAAGCTGAATGATCAAAAGCAAGGTCTTGTATGAAATTTTTTTTATTTGCGAACGGTATTATACTTTGGTGCAACCGAAGTTACCGTTTTTTCTTCTTTTAGATATATTTAGAGCTTTGAGTTTCAGGAAGCCTACGGTTTTCGGTGGCAGATGGCAGTGCAGGACAACTTTCGTTGTTGATTTACGTGAGTACCTGCCGGCGACGGCCTTACCTCAGGGTGCTCCAAAGCACAACGTATCAATACAATGCGTTGATAAGCGCCCCAAATAATACGAGCTATTTGCAAGTATTTATTTGGATACCAGTGCTTTTTGCAACTTATTTTTAGAACTGAAAAAACAGTTGGGCTGAATTTTCAGTTCTTCCTGCATTTAGGTTTCAAAAACAGCCACCACGAATCTCCCCAAAGGGGCCATAACCCAATGAGCAGATTGGACCGAAGTCCAAGAGCTTTCTGCTCCCCGTGGTACCAGAGTTGAGTCTCCGGTCAGACTGCGTAGCCTAAACTACACTAGTTGAGCTACCCATTACTCAATGACTGGTGACATTTGTCGCTTGAACTTCAAATGTCTTTTTATTTGCTTTTTCATTTAAAGTGTTTCTAATATCAGTTCAAGCTGAGTATTATAGCACTATCACTCCATATACTATGCTGATATTACTGGGCAAAGAATATAATAACAGTCATAGTGCATATTGGCTTTTAGTCGCCTTTTACGACAGGCATGCCTTGCCGCGGGCATATTCTATCCCCTGCCCGCAGGGGTAGGCAGTGCAGGACAACTTTCGTTGTAGATTTACGTGAGTACCTGCCGGCGACGGCCTTACCTCACGGTGTTCAAAACACAACGGATCAATACAATGCGTTGATCAGCGCCCCAAACAAAACGAGCTTATGCAAGTATTTATTTGGATACCAGTGGCAGTGTGTCTGGGTCCACACTACCATCTTGGTATGATTCGAGGCCGACCTAAAACCTCTTCCGTTTTCGGGTACGGCACCCAGTTACTTGTGTAACTTCTTTTTCGAACTGAAAATTCAGTTCTTCCAGCATTTAGGTTTAAACCACAGCCACCACGATACTCCCAAAGGGCCGAACCCAATGAGCAGATTGAACAGAAGTCCAAGGGCTTTCTGCTCCCGTGGTACCGAAAGTCTCGGTCAGACTGCGTAGCCTAACTACTGCCAGTTGAGCTACCCATTACTCAAATGACTGGTGACATTTGTCGCTTGAACTTCAAATGTCTTTTTATTTGCTTTTTCATTTAAAGTGTTTCTAATATCAGTTCAAGCTGAGTATTATAGCACTATCACTCCATATACTATGCTGATATTACTGGGCAAAGAATATAATAACAGTCATAGTGCATATTGGCTTTTAGTCGCCTTTTACGACAGGCATGCCTTGCCGCGGGCATATTCTTTCCCCAAACCCGCAGGGGAACGGCAGTGCAGGACAGTTGAATTGCTGAGATTTGCCATGTGAGATTTTTTCGCAACTGCTGCAGGGTTCTATAAGTGTATAAGTTCAATCTGCATCACAGGCCGGATCGGAGTTGAATATTCACCCTTAATTATATCTAGCGGTTAAGTTCTTCTTTGTGAAAATCTTGACCACTACCCCTTCTGTAAATTTTGATTAAGCCACGTACTCCTATTTGCTCTTAGCGATATGCAGTTCAATTGCAAACATATTTTTAAGACAACGTGCTTGACAGGTGTACATTCGCATGTGGAAGATGTCCCTCGTTTATAAGTATGTGTGAGTATAATGCAATAACAATGCACACCGTCGATAATCTATCACTATTCATTGAATTAAATTGATGGAGTGGACAGTAGAAAAGACATAATGACGACATATCGCTTCCTGTCAGCATGAAAGCTTTGATGTGTGTAATTGATGTATTACTGATTCACTGCCTGATGGACTGTACATTTATTAGCCGTAATTGATTAATTCCAGTAATAATTGTCATCTTCGTGTTAATAACCGAGCATGTTTCAATGAAAGCCAAAATATTTAAACAAATAAAATTTAATTAAGTTTAAAGCAAACGACAATAATGAGATTTTTAAAGAGGCTCAAAGAGATACTTTAAGATAGTCGAAACCTAATTAATGGACAGCTGAGTTGAGAGCAAAAAAGTATTTTATTTTGGTAGGAGTTCAAATACATAGAGATCATGTCATATAGACGTATAGAGATCACAATATATAGATAACATGTTATATAGCACAAGTATCTGTTGAAAAATATGTGCTTTATCTAACCCACAGAGCACAGAGTGTAAAATAATTTTTATACCCTGAACAGGGTATATAAAGTTTGCCATGAAGTTTGTAACACCCACAAGGAAACGTCGGAAGCCCTATAAAAAATATACAGAAATAATCAGCACAATGAGCTGAGTTGATTTAGCCATGTCCGTCTGTATGTCTTGTCGGAACGGCCGATATCGGACCACTATAGCATATGGCTGTGATACAAACTGTCGAGGTCATAGGCAAGAGGGAGGTGCACAATAATGTCTGAAAAAGCAAAAGTGGTTTATTACAAGGACCAAGCCTCATCGAATTTTGTCCTTTCTATTACACTTGGGGTTTCATGTTAATTTAAGTAGCTACTAATAACGTTAGGTAAAATAACAAGGAAATACGTTAACTTCGGTTCCTTACAAGACCTTGATTCCGATCGTTCAGTTTGTATGGCAGCTATATGCTATAGTGGTTCTTAGTGAGAAAAGGACATTTGCAAAATTTCAGATCGATAGCTTAAAAACTAAGGGATTATTTTGCATATATACAGACGGACAGACAGACGGACATGGCTTAATCAACTCAGCTCATCATGCTGATCATCATGATGATGTATATATTTTATAGGGTCTCAGACGTTTCCTTCTGGGTGTTACAAACTTCGTGGTTTTGCCAAAATGGTCGATGGTTTCTATGTGAGTGGCATTATGAAATTATTTTCAAAATGCCAAATTATCGAACAAAACGGTGCATACTTCTCCTAAGTCGGCTGATTGTATTGTAACTGTGCCAAATAAAACCTTCAATTTAATGTAAAAGTAGTGGATTCCTTTTTACATGACCTTAAACTTTATTCCGTTTCAAATCTATTATTATTATTATTATTATTGTTATACGGTATTAACCTTTCATCTTGCTTTACATTTTATCCTAAGTATTATATTATTTTATTATAAAAGTATCGGGTTTCGAAAGTTACTTACGTTAGTTGTGATTACATTATTACGTTAACTTTATACATTATCACATAGTTTGCTTGCAAAGGACACAAATTATATTACAACTACATTACTTCGTTTATGACAAAAATATTTAAAGTTCCGTTGCACGTCTGAAAATAGAGAATTGTAACCGCGCAATCTGACTTGAATGTCAAAACGGGTGAAAATCGAAGTTGTAAAATGTAAAAGAGCTTTCGATAACCAACAAACCTGCAAGAACAGTTACGGAACTAAATAATTCGTACCAAAGTTGTTTAAGAGTGTAAAATAAATAATTTAAACAAAACGTGGCAACATTATTATTAACAAGAATTTGGATTAAAAAGTAGTATACTCGTATTATGTAGAATATAGACATTCATACATATATATAGTTATTGGTTCATAATCGGTAAGAGATATGGTTATATATATATGCACATATATACAAGTGAACAAAATATCTTTCAGTGTAAGTAGTAACTAAATTCAAAATTAAAATACTTTGATGAAAATTAGGCGTGGCACGTAATTTTTTTACTCAATACACATCTGCCCAACAACATAACAGCTGGAAGTGTGAAAACATACACCATACACGTAAAATTAGATAGACAGGATACAAGCTGATCAGTAGAAAAACCTTACCTTGAATCAGGCGTCGACTAAAAATATCTCAAGTATTAAAAGAGCTCAAAGTTAGACAAAGCTATTCACATGTGCCAATTCCGATCTAAAAATGGAAATCGGTGTTTCTCAAAAATAACCGAACTTTTTGGATATAGAATATATAATGCACAATATATTATAGACTCAACACAATGTTGTCTGGGACACATCCTTTCATGCTGGTTTTCAATTTTGGAAATGGAAAATAGTCATAGTGTGATAGATGAAGCGAATACGGAGGGCGGTCAATGAGAAAAAAATCTTTTTTTTTTTAAAAAGTCGTTCATTTTTCGGTATTCATATGATTCTGTGGAACAAAACACACACAGATATTTCTTTCACCTAAAATTTCAGTTAATTTCAGTTAAAATTGTACAAAAAATGTTTTTAGTCTTATTTAAGCCCTCAGCCAACATTCTCGAAGTAAATTTTGCATCGATACCAATAATTTCACGAACTTTTCAACCAATTCATCATGAGCTTCTGGACGAGCTAGCCTTTGGTCGTCATTTAAATCCTCACGATCATTTTTGTGTAAACCACGTATAATCTGGTGTACGGCTCGTTCAATCATTAGCATAACCTTTTTTCATATAAATGGAACAATTGCACACTTTTTCTTTTTTTGAAATGGCTGCAACTTTAATATCTGTTATGCGATCAACATGAAGTTAGGTGCTGAATTTGGTTGCATATTGTATGATTTAAATTTAAAGTACGGTTTGTTTTGGGAGGCACCGTGTATGTATGAATAGGCGTGAGAAAGTCAGTAGAAAGAAGGTAGAAATCTATAATTTAATTGAGTACTAATTAAGTCGTTCTCTCAATCGACCATTAGTCGAGAAATAGTCTGATTCTTTCACTTTCCAGTATACAAATAAAACGCCAATAGGGGATAGAACTTTGCACGAATAATGTCTTTAAAGTATGTCACCTTATGACTAAAAATTGTCCAAATCAAACCAAAACTGTTCAAGTAATATTACATGTATCTCATTTGAAGATGTTTTTAATATAATATAATATAGCTGCCGCGAACTAAAATATAGCAATAAAATTGATTGTAAGGTAATGATCTAAATCAAGAAGATACCAAATTGGATTGTATTTATTCACGATTTCTTCGAATAATGGATGTAATTTTTTTTCGCAAAATTTTTTATATAATATGAAGCCTTGCCCGCTACTGAAGGCATTTGATTCTTGCAAGTTGCCTTCCTTATTGGCTTAAGTTAAATATATTATATTTAAAGATCGCAAATAAAAATTTAAATTGCCCAATTGTTTTTACTTTAGTGTAAGAAAATTGAGCATTTGCCGCTGTAATGCACTAACGTTTCGGCACATTCCACATAATCGCCACACATCGCTGATCTCACCTTAATTAGTCTCTGAAGGAAAGATTTAAGATAAAAGTGTCTTATGATAGCTATGGTAATAATTAGTTCATTTTATGTGTTCTTTGTGGCTATCATATCAATTTGTTGGTACGCCCTCTATCGGTGATCTATCAAATGATATGGACTTTCTTTAGATCATCCATTGATTTATGCAATTTCAGAATGTCCTTTCCTTTCCTTTTAATTACTTTTTTTCCTATATGACTGGGATCATGATGATGTACCCTGAGTCCCTCACTAAATGTTTGTTGATTTAATGAACTATTTCTTTCTCAATATTTGAATCAAAACGTTTCTGTGGAACAAGAAGTACATTTACACAATATTATTTGCGTTATTACTGAGAAAATAATTTAATTTAAAAATCACATGGGATTTTTCGCCACAGAGTACCGTGTAACCATTAGTAACCTTCAATTTATTGCAGAGTACAATCAATTATGAATACTTTCAAACTTATACAGATATTAGAATGTAACATATAGGGTGCACCATCAGGTTTCTTGATAAACATTGTTAACTTTGAAAAAAAAAAAATTATTTAAATATTTATTACTTTTTTCATACTTTTTCGTGCATCTCAGGCTTTGGAGCCATGCCTTCGACACGAATGTTTGTCTAAGGTTCGATAATGGTCTGAGACTAACTGGTGTATACTGTACTTAGCAAATAATCCCACAAGAAGTCAAGAGAGTAAAATCGAAAACTATTCGTTGCGAGTCAATATCATCTATTTCTGACATAAACCGTCTGGTTCAACCTAGTAACCGGCAATAACTTTTCTAGATTTTTTTAGAAGAATGTTAGTCCTTCAGTCAATTTTCGTCTGACGAATGCAATCAATAAATTTTACAGCTATTCGATGTTTATAAACGGACATATGAAATGCTGCACCCTGTATTAACAAGTAAATAAACTATTTTAAGAATTTTGTTGTTTAAACTTACGGCAAATGTTGAAATTGTAGTTGTACCATTTCGCACACGACGGTGTCTGGATCATTAACCACTTCATTTCACTTTCCTTGGCGACATTGTGGGTATTTTGGGCGATAATACCAACCTTGTACGTGGCCGAAAAGGTTAAATTCTCTAAGGTATGCATGTACAATTGTCGTGGCTGCTCCGTTGATCACGATTATGGTAAAAATATAGAAGATAAAATAGAAAAGTAGAAACAAATGAAAAATGTTGTATTAAAGCATTTTTATGTACTTGTTGCATACTTTGTATAAAAAAATTAAGAAAACAAAAAAACAATTTTTATTGACTCATTCACAAAAAGCTTCTACAATTAGCTATAAGTGTCCCACGCAATAGTTGAAGTAAGCGACTTTCAATTAATAAATGTGTAGCGGAAAAAATCTGCAATAATTTCTCTGCTTTTAAGCGTGAGAAATAATTACTAAGCCATAAAAAATGCCGAGAAAACAAATGTAAAGCGTAACTACGTGCTTTTCAAGATCATGGTATGCATGGGCGAGATGGCATAAGGCACATTGCAAAGCACTTTACGCTAATGACAATGACATCGTTTTGCATCTCTTAGTGATTTAATGCCGTTATATGGATAAACTGGAAATAGATGTCTGGGAAAACTTTTTAATAAGGCAAATTCTTAAAGTTCGCACACACAAAAATCACAATTTTTAACTTTTTAAATTATTTTAATTAAAAAGCACTTCTGTATGAGCGCCTTTATGGATTCAAAATATTTTTGAATAGGGTTGCCAAATGGTTAATTTTCTTTTAAAATGAATTTATAAAATTAAAGAAATAATAAAAAACAGGGTTAAGCAAAACGGAGTTAAGCAAGATTGTTGTCGTAGATATATTTGGGATGTAGTGCCATAATAGGGCCGTTCATAAATTATGTAAGGCGTTTAGGGGAGGGGGGGGTATTGAGTGTATCTTATAACTTCTTACCATGGGCAGAGAGGGTAATGAACTTAGTATTACGTAAGATTTTTAATTTTAATATTCATCACTTTCGCGGTAAGAGTCAGCGTTATAGAATAGCGCCATCTGTACTTCATTTCTTTAACTTGATATAGAGAGATACAAATCTTATATTTTCAGTACTTCTAGACTTTCTATTATTCCATTGTTATTTTCGCTGACTTCCGTGGTGATTTCCCTTATATTTGGACTTTTGAAAATATACCTAATTTAATTGTATACTGAACATTTTATCAAATATGTCTGCATATTTACATCCACTGTTATTTAAAGCATGGGTAAAAGGTTTTCCAAATACAACACCTAGGGTTTGTCAAAAAGAGTCAAACTCTTTCTGGATAACCAACTAAGAAATATTTAAAAATGACAACAGTGCTTTTGGAAAATTTATATCTCAGAAAATAAAAGATTTGAATCAACTTGCTGCTGATAAAAGAAACCAACATGCTCGATTTTTTCCTAAACAGGTTAGTTAGTACTGTATTTCTGCATACTTATTTCATTATAATATTACTGTTTTAAAATATTTCCAAGTCATTATTATCACTCAAATTTTACTCATTAAACTTATTAGTTATGCAAATTTAGGTGTGTATGATAAACTGTAATCTAAATGACTTCTTACAGCAAAATGTGTCTAGTGGACCTTTTGCTTTGATGGATAAAAACGCTACAGATTCATCTGTGGCATTATGCACTAGAGAAGTATATAAAGCACACGAACTGATTCCAAAAGAGGCAATTCCTGATAAATCACAATCAACAAAGCAAAAAAACGGAACGCTGAATATCAAAAAAATCTTAGAAAAAAAGACATTAATTAATCAAAGACCTTATCAAGGATTCAGTTGGAAAACAACAATTAAATGTGCACGAGACACACCGCGTCGCCCGAGTTTGGTGGAATCTGTACCTGAGTTGTTGAAAGTTTTAGCAGAAATTGCAAGGTTTGGAGGTGGTGCAGATGAGAGACGTCGGTCTGAAATGGTAAGAAGCTGTCGAACTCTAGATGACTTGGTTAAAGAACTACAAGCGTCTGGTTTTAATTTATCACGAATTACTAATTCTTCTTATTTTACCTAGATACTCTACTACAATTGAAGGAAAAAAACACGTAGTAATAACTCCGGTGAAATTAGCTAGAGCAACGAATGATGAGCACAAAAGTCATCCAGATGGTAAATTTTGCACTGCTTCGATTCGGGCTATCGAGTCTCTCGCCTCAATGCTTGGACCTGCTCAGGGTTTCTTCTTATCACAGGACGACAAAGCGCGTATTCCAATCAGTAAAACTGCTGTACAAAAACAAGCACCCTTTCTGCACCCATGGAATATCGAGTACAGCTACCAGATCACGATTGGGGCAAGGCAGAAAAACATAAATTAATACCTTCAGTATATGCTGGTATTGAAATTATTGCTGATGGAATCGGCAGGGCTGAAGCAGTGACATACAGTGGACCTACGTACATTGCAATCAGATCTGGGAAACATTCAGCATCATCAGCACGCTGTCATAGCATTGATTTAGAGCATCTCATGGAACTAAAATAATTCCAATCACTGGCCAAAATGGAAGATAATGGTGTAAAACCAGTTATGATCATGCCTGTGTTGACGGAGGACCTGATGAAAATCCACGCTTTGAGCTTGATGCTCTATTTATTGTCACGAATGCTCCAGGGCGAAGTTGTTTTAATCGAGTAGAGCGTATAATGGCTCCATGAAGTCATCAATTATCGTTACTTGTCTTACCGTATGATTCTTTTGGTAATCATCTTGATGATCAACGACGTACAGTTGATGATGAACTTGAAGTCAAAAACTTCGAAATAGCTGGTGATATTTTAGCGCAAATATGGAGTAAATTGATTATTGATAATAGACCAGTCGTTGCTGAATACATAGATCCGGGACGTGATAATGTTGATGTAAGCTCAGCAGAATGGACTGCTGATTGCTACTGTAGACATGTGCGAGAGTCTCAATATTTACTACAAATTTGCAAATACCCCAGACCGTTCAGACTTGATTTTAACACCATACGATTTTTATTGTCCTGCAGTTCAAACACAGTTGATCGCACATACATGTCCGACGTGTGGATTGTACTTCGCATCAAATAAAAATATGAGAACTCATCGTCAATCACCTCTCAAGTATCAGTGTGCTCGCACCGATTAAATTATTACGTCGTCAAGCTGGACGTAGCTTGTGTCTCACATCCTACAACAATAATACTCATGATGTAGAATGGTATGACAATGAAGATCTTGATGTAGAAAAGTAAGAAGAGTATATAGAAGAACAAAAAGAATCAGTCATTCCGGTAATTGAATCAATATCAGATTGGTTAGGTAGCCCGTGGGTAAATAACAGTTACATTTTTAAATTGTTTTCTATTTTATTCAACATCTTAGATTTTACTGAACTAATTCTGGTTAAAACTGTGATAGATTGATAAAATTAATGTTATTGCAGTAAGCTAAGGATATTTATAGTAAACAGCTTGTAATAAAAGATGTTTTCATAATAAACTGAGTTAAATTTTATGAGTATGACCTCTTCTTACGAAAAATTCTTATTGAGGGGCAGGGGGGAGTAGTTGTCATCTTATGATGTCTTACAGTAGCGGGAGAGGGTTAAATCATCTTTCAAAATGATTTACGTAATTTATGAACGGCCCCTGTGTTGGAAATTCTAAACAGAAAACTTATAAGATAAATAAACAGTATAATAAAGGTAGGTGTTCATAGTTAACAAATTATGAAAAAACCATTTTTTTTTTTTTCAATTAAATTTATATATTAGATGATAATAAGTATAAAATAGGTTTAAAGATCTTTTTCTCGGAATAACTTATGAGACAAGTTGCCAACTGTTCGAAATTTTTAACTGCAAAAATGTATCGTAAAAACATTGCAATGATCAGTTTGAAATATTTTGAAATCTACAAACCGATGTTCATACAAGTGTCTCTCTGTCTGTATACGCACGAACTTGTCTCTCCATCATTCTGAATTTTCGCAAACGCCCTTTCCTCCCCAAAAAGCTGCTCATTTATTGCAACCGCCGATATCGGACCACTATAGTATATAGCTACCATACAAACTGACCGATCCACAATATATCTTCACAATTTTACATAGATTATTGTCGTATGATTCAGATTGCACAACCATACCATTTAGCTGCAATACAAACTGTCCGATCAAAATCAAGATAAAGATCTTTTTATACCCTTTATGCTATAAGAAATCCACTTGTAAAGTGTATTATAGCTTCGGTGTAGCCGAAGTTTGTTTTCGAATGCGTTTGACAAAAATACCTTTGTCCGTTCCAATATAAAAGAAAACAAGGGAACCCTTTGCTTTCTATTACTATGTATGACATTATTGATCTGTTCATGTTGTTGTAAACGACATTGCATTGTTATTGCTCAATACATTTCGTTTTGCATTTAACCTCTATTCTTTGTCTTCGAAAACACATGCCAATCAGGTACGTCATCTAAGCGACCATAACACGCAATCGCTTCGATTTGAAAGCTTTTTAATAGAAGGGTAGACTAGTAGATTTTTATTCGATGTTATTTTCTAGACGTGAGATGGACCTCCTTTATATATAAGAGGATGTCATTGCATGAATATACATACACTCATATGAGTAAGTTAGATCGTTTTTTAATGTGATCTGTATGAGAAATTATTCGTAAGTTGATTTAATGTTTGCTTTTACTATAATATGTTTTCATTTGAACTTTTCGCGTTAATTCCAAATACACTTGTAAAATATACACAATTTTTTTTCAAAATAATACTTACATTACGTATTTCCATAGTTGTCATATCAGATCCTGATTCATCGTAATAGAGTATAACGTAGTAACATGTTCTGTCTGGGGACAAATATTACAGAAATATGAGAAAATATAAATTTTAATTTAATATACGAAAACTATTTGCATATTATATCAATTTTAAATAGCTTAACTTAATTTGGTATATTTATGCAAACATATATGGCAAACATATATGATATGAGCAATTGCCTCTAATTGTTTTTTTACCTTCTGGTGGTTGCCAAGTGATTTCCGCCAAAAGATGTATTTCATTTGAATAGTCGGGAAGAAAGCGCTCCAATTTCATATCTCCGACAAAGCCCGGCGTATAGTCATGCTGTAAAGTGGAATATTCCTGGGCTCTAGCCACGATAGCATATTGATGCTTAGCATTCACCGCCAAAGCGGAAATTGTATAGGTGGTGGAATTTTGGAGATGATCTATTGTGAAGAAGTTCTCATTGAACTATTCGAGAAATGAAAGTTGTTAATAAAATAATTTCAAATTAAGGGAATGTTATCTTTGTCGTAGTAGCAGAAAGCATTCCCCAAACAATATGAAAGAATTCGGTCGAGGTGGTAACAGTTTAAGGTGGGTTAAAAACCAGGTAGCATTCTGGTTGCGTGGACTAGCTCTTCGTGGGAGTCCTCTGAGTCATACCATTTGCTTTGCATTTATGCATTGATTATTAGGTGTAATCACACTCAATACTAAAAATAAGGTTTGAGAACTGGCTCAAGGCTTTCAAGGCTCTATACATTTCTACTTTGAAGCACAACTTTAACTGCATACAACTTTAAAAGGAAGGAATTTGCGAAAAAAATTAATAAAACCTTTTTTTCCTTTAACAGGTACATTTGGTTTGGAGATAAAAATGTATTGCAAAAGTTTAAATTGAAAATAAAGAGCTTGTTTATGTCGTATAATTTTTAGGGAAAAAACTGCATTTCTATGGCGTTTGCAAAAAAAAAAAAAAACTTGGGAAATATTGGACACTTAATCTAAAATCAAATTAATCGGTGCTATACTCAGAGCATGGTACCATCTGTTTGAAACTTGTAGTTTAAAATGGGAGGGGTGTTGTCACTTGTTTAAAAAATGCAATTAATGTAATAAACTAAAAAAATATGTAATCCAAACAATAGAAGAATTACAATTTCTAGTGTTACCGCCTACTGAAAGTTTTTACTGTTATTAAAGAAGCAAAAAAGTTTAAATAAAGAATTCTATCGAAGGTATTTTTAGGAGATTCGCCACTACAACCTGATAAAATCATTGCAAAACACCAATATTCGTATCAAATGAAATATACATTATATTATCATTCATCATCAGAAAGTGACATTTTTAAAGATTATCAGCGTACACATACACCGAAAAATATTGTGCCATCATTGAGTCAAAACGAAACCGACACATAACCCGGCGCTAAAATTAATTAAATTCTTAACTCAAGTGGGCAACAAATATACTAGAAAGATCAACAGAATTATACTCTTTAAATCAATACACTTAATTCCAAATTACTTCACCACGCATCTTTTTAACTGTATGTACTGACCCTACCTGCAGTTATAAGTTTTATCTTCCGTTTACTGCACACACCCACATTCATTCAGTTGCCAATAAATCCTAATAAAATGTTGGCATCAACTGACCAAATCTTCTTATCCACTTTTGGCATCGCCTCGCCCACACTTACCATATAAATAGTCGCGTTTGTGCCACTTTGTACTTTAATCATATAAATCGCTTCTGCCGGCTCACTCAGTTGTCCGGTGTCAATGTTGGGATTTGCCATTGTTGTCTGCATTTGTGGCGCCGTGGCATTCGGCATGCTCACCGGCGCTGTAAATATGCTGTGATCTTCTTCTTTGCTATTCAATATAATGCTCCTATATTTTTTTTTCGTTGCATCCCTCTGAGTTACACCAACTGCGCCACTTGCAATTTCTTCACCTTCACCTTCTGCAGCATTATCTGTATCATCATTTCCAACACTGCGGACGTGTACAATACGAAATGTCAAGCTAGTGTCGTCACGGCAGACTAATATCATCCGATGGCGAGTATGTGTAAACTGATACTTATCCGATTGCGCGGAAGCTGTTTCATTTTTCCTCGAACAGTGTTCGGTGCACGATTGATCCGCCTAAAAATTAAGAAAAATAGTAAAAAGTGAAATGAACATTCGGTGATAATATTATATTATATTTTACTAAAGCAAAGTTTTCTTTTAAAAAGATTAAGTAGTTTGAAATTTTTTTTAATCGAAAATTGTAGTGTTTTGTTTACCCTTCGGGTAATTTTCTATAATGGCAATTGAGATGCATGGTCCTTCCAACACCACATTTTTTTTTCAAGAAGACCACCATAATATTTGTATGCCCGCCACCTGCTGGTCCAGAGTTCAATATCATTTCCAGACCAATCTATGCATTATATAATAATATATGTGAAGTTTCGTGAAAATACCTTGAAAAATAAAAGAATTTCCCATACAAGGACTGAAGTTTGGTCGGTCACTTGTATGGTACCTATATATGCGGTTCCGACAATTAAGCAGCTTTTTAATGTGAAAAGGACGTATGCAAAATTTCAGATCGATATGTCCAAAACTGAGAAACTAGTTCGCGAACTGAGGAACTATACAGACAGACGGGCACAGCTAAATCGACTTGGTTTGTCGTGCTTAATATATATATACTTAATAGGATCCGACGGTTTCTTCTGGCTATTACTAACATCGTTGCAAACTTAATATATCCTGCTCAGGGTATAATAATTTAGACATATTACATATAAAACGCAGAAAAAAAATCATGGATATTGCGAGATTCTCTACAACCTGCTAACTCTCAACTAAACTTTTCAGAACTAATCAGTCCAAAAAAAACTTTCTGTTTCTGAACATTACAATTATTCGATTCTAAGGTTTTACAAACATCTTTTTTTATGGTAGAATGAAATTTTTTTTTTAAATATACCAGAACGGAATATCCTGTATGAAATCCATCTTCACTTAAAAAAGTTCATTCGGAAAAAACATTGTAAGGGTGAAAGAATATCGGCTTTCGGGGTCGTCTTTAGATAGATACATTTTAAGTTTCACACAAATAATTTGACCTTCTTTGAGATAATCTCGATAAAGTATCGATTTAGTTGAATTGAATCTCCGTAGTTTTGGGTCGATACAACAAACTGGGGCGTTTTCGTTTTAAAATATATGTGAGATAATTTCTCTCGCAGTAACAACTTTACATTCCTTGGGAATAACTGGTGGAATAAATATATTGACCATATTAGACGTGCACCAGTATTTTAACTACCTATATGACAAATTTTGGACATCTGTACAAAATGGCGTACGAAAATATATTACGAACTCTCAATACGAGTGAGTTTTATGTTATCGCATAGTTTTTCTCAACCTCTCAATTCTTTAAAACTCTTGTCACTGTCGGACTCCTGAACAACTTGAGCCCCGAAGCAATTACAGCGAGGATTCACCTCTCGGCACGTATTAATCTATCTTATAAGAAAGTCTCGCAAACGAAAGCTTACTACTGCATGGCGGAGTTGCTCTCGTTGCCTGTAACTGAGAAAATCAACAGCAGTTCTGTTTTACTCCTAAAACATAGTCAGGCGATATCTGCTTACACATGATTACAAGTAAATATTTTTATAAAAATAAAAAGGGCCTATTATAGGTTTGTCCTTATAACGTAAAGTTCGTGAGCGTGGTCTCGATTTTAAAATACCAACTCTAGTAGGTTGCGAAGGAGTAATATGCAAATCGGAACTAACTCAAAACACGTGTCTTTTTCGACGATTTACTATGTAACTATATAATTTGTGTTGTACCTGTCCAAATATCCATGCCAAGGTGATATGACAATCTGCCTGTTGCTCTCACAAAACTTGTGTAACATTATTCATTTATTGGAATGTTTTCTTTCAGAAGTAATACTTTACTTTTCACACGACGATAACTTTGTAAGCATATTTGCAGTTATAAACTTTTAAGTTAGCTAACTACCAAACAATGTAGGTATGTAGAATCACATGTATACCTTTATACATGTATATACATACCTATATATCATACAATAGATAAACGTATGTGTTTGCGTTCACTTACCCAATTGTTATGTCGTTCCGTCAAGTCGCCTTCGTATTGGGTTTTTCGTAAGCGATGCATGCAATGCAATCTACACGAAGTTGTGCGGAAGTCTTTCAATTCCAAATTTAACTCACGTAAAAGCGATTCTTCGCTGGCGTTGCCACCCAGCAATATCCAATAAACGAAGAAGTAGCGCAACACAAATATCAACATCTTCCACTGCACTCACTACAATTTTATAGCGAATCCGTATTTTTTCCACTGCGAAATTAATAAATTTCATTAGTTAATTTTGCAAAGATAGTTCTTTCAATGCATTTGCTAGTTGAGATGAGCTGATTGGAGTGCTTTAATTACTGGACTCTTCTGAAAATATAAGTAAATGAATGCTAAAATTAGCAAAGCAAACTTTTTATTTCAATTATCATTGTAAAATAGTAAATTTTATGCTTAGAGGATTTAATATTATTAATATTGTATGCTTATAAAATTTTATAGGAGATAGTTGGATAAGTAAGTGATACAGAAGTTCTTTAACAGCGATAGAACCGATAGTGGGAGATAATTTGAAATTTTCAAAGTGAGAAAATCCAATTTACATATGTATGTATATAGACTACCTTGATCAGAACTTTTCAGGAATGACCATGATGTTGATCTCTCAGTCACGCCATATATATACTATTTTTTTGTTTACTTATTTTTTTTTATCCTCATTAAATTTCACTTGCATAATTTGATATTTGAAAACTTACGCCGTCTCAAGTGTATCTACATATCTCTGTATGTGTTTTCGATTTTCGTGTGAGAATGTAACAGCGTTAAACACATACACCAAACAAAAAGGTAAATAAATATTATCACAAAATCGTAAATGAACTGTCAGAGAGATGACAAAGGATATCAACATCTTATTTGGTTCCGTACAGGACATTATGGTCAATAAACTGTGCCTGAAAATTCGCATTAGTAGATTAACAACTTGTGGATCACAAATCACGATAACGAGTCGTAACATAATGCTATCATTGTACAGGCCTCTTTTAATAAGAATATTACCAATAAACAAGACTCAAAAGTCGCTCCGAGAAATCCGTCATCACAAAAATATTCTCCCCAAATTTCATTACTAGACCTCACAGATTTACCGGTATGTTTGGTAAGAATACAGCAACAAATACTAGTCGTACTTTTAGTAGTTGTCAACATAACCGTTATATGGAGAGTGGTGGCGGTTATTATCTAATTTTATCCATATTTAAAGTGTTTGAAGAAATGCTAAATGTGATTTTTATACTCTCGAAACTTGTTGCTACAGAGTATAATAATTTTGTTCACCTAACGGTTGTTTGTAACACCTAAAACTAATCGAGTTAGATATAGGGTTATGTATATATAAATGATCAGGATGAAGAGACGAGTTGAAATCCGGGTGACTGTCTGTCCGTCCGTCCGTCCGTCTGTGCTGTAACTTGAATAAAAATTGAGATATCTTTATAAAACTTGGTACACATGTTTCTTGGTACCGTAAGACGGTTGAGATTGCAGATGGGCGTAATCGGACCATTGCCACGACGACAAACCGCCATTAATCAAAAACAAATAAATTGCCATAACTAAGCTCCACAACAAGATACAAGAGCCTTATTTGGTATACAGGATCACATTAGGGAGGGACATCTGCAGTTTAAAATTTTATTTAAAAGTGGGCGTGGTCCCGCCCCCTAAGAAGTTTAATGTGCATATCTCCTATACCACTGAAGCTATAACAAAAAAATTCACTGGGACAAATGTTTTTAGCATCTCTATCGACGGTGTGAAAATGGGTGAAATCGGGTGACAACCCCGCCCACTCCCCATATAACGGTACTGTTAAAAACTACTAAAAGCGCGATAAATCAATACATAAAATTTTATCTGTGGGATGGTATAATACGATTTTATAGGAACCACGTTCAAAATAAGATAGTGGGCATGGCACCGCCCACTTTTAGGTGAAAACCCATATCTTGGAATCGGCTTAATCGATTTCAACCAAATTCGGTGCATAACGTTCTTTTCATGTTATAGTGCGAAAATGGGCAAAATCGGATTACATCCACGCCTATTTTCCATATAACACCATTTTAAATTTCATCTGATTTTTTCACTTTCCAGTATGCAAATCAAACAACTATGATTATATCGGGGTAAAACTTTGCGTGAATAATACATTTAAAGTATGCCACCTTGTGACCAAAAACCCCTAGGTGCTGAATATGTGGACCCCATTGCCTATAGTTGACCTTCTACCGAAAATATCGGACAATCCACAAAGAAATCTTAAACGAGTATACCATTTGATTTTGCGAGAGTATAAAATGTTCGGTTACATCCGAACTTAGCCCTTCCTTACTTGTTCTTAGTAAGTTTAGTTGATTTAGTTTGAAAGATATGTAAACTAAACCAATAAGGGGGCAGGGCCACGCCCAATTTTTAAAAATGTTTAGTACAAAAGTGTCCCTCGTTATAGTTTTGTATTTGGTGGGCGTGACAGTATTCCATTTGCCATTTCCACGCCGATCTGTAATTCCAACCTTAGTTTTCAAGAAGTAGTAAATTTTATCCAGATATCTCAATTTTTACTCATGTTATCTCTTGCACGGACAGACAGACGAGTAGACAGTCACCCGGATTTTAACTCGTCTCGCCATTCGGATCATTTGTATATATATATACAACTCAATATATATCTCGATTAACTATTAAACTCTGTAGCAACATGTTGTCAGAGTATAAAAATGCTCAGAGTATAAAAATGCGCTCATCGTGTCCTGAATATCTAGCTAGCTATGGGCTAGCTAAAATCAGCCGGTATTGAGGTAGCTCAATAGAATAGGTAATAGGTGAGAAATTACACTCAGTGTTAATTGCTTTTTAAGGAAAGATGTCTTACCCTTGTTCGATTAAAATATTTGAACAAAAATACTACTACGATTATATATCCACGGTGAAAAAGAATTTCGATAATTAGCTTTTTTAAGTCAAATAATTTCACGAATTCTGCAATATTGAAAAGATATTCCCAAAAATGTTTAAGCAATTTACTAGTCAAGTTCTTAGATCCCAGCCAAGATGGCTTTAAATTTGAGTGTCATGCACCAAATAGTTTTACGGATAAACTTCAGCTTATTATCTTTAACTAAAACATCATAAAAAAAGATCTTAATAGTAGTATATAACCAGTGATATTTAAAGATAACTAAAGGTTACTCAGTTTATATCTCCTCATGTATTGAATTTGGTAATAATGACATATACGAGACGAAACGATGATATACGGGTGAACCTCACTTAGTAAAAGCCTTCTCTTTTGTGAGATTTATATATTTCTCAATATTTTGAAAACTAGTGAGACCAATATTGGACTGCGGTTCTCTGATATGGATTCTAGTAATAAAATTCATACTGATAAGCTAGATTTTATTTAATATCAATTTTCACATACTGCACTGCATTGCCGTGGGATTCCCGAGTAAATCTCATTTCGGCATATAGAAGCAAACATTCATATGTATATGACTGCACATATTGTAGAACTTTAAACTCATTGACATTCTTTTATTTCAATCAATTGTTTTCTGTGCAATGAATATTGCACGGCTGTGCTCTTCAGCTAAATCAGTAGATACTTATCTATATAAATTTGTGCATGAACAACTCCCATTTAAATGAATATGTATATATGTATGTTGAGCTGACGCGCTTTACTCTATGAATTAAAAGCATTCCTTTAGACCACTTGGAAACTTTTAACTTAACTGCGACAACTAAAGTCTTTTTAATCACGGTATTACAAAGTATTGAACTTTCATTGTTTTTTATAGGCATTCACCGCTGCCATTGGCTAATTCAAACCTTATTGACGACTATGCTCCTTCGCAATTTAATACTGATATTATTACTTCACAGCATTTTCTCTTTAGGAACGTCTGGCGCTTGCATGGTAAATTGTGTTAAAATTAAGTAAACAGCAAGACAAAATATAAATGCCATTTACGAATTCACCAAACAAGGAAAAGCTTCGATAAGAGTGAGATTCGTTCCAATAGGCAATTGTAATTATCATTTTACTAAAGGTCGCGGATTCTAACCGGTTTTTTTTTTTAACGTGTGGTTTTCAATGAAGCAATACTTTATTTGAGGTTGGTCTTTGTGAAGTCGCTTGTCTGCGCAGATAAGCCGCTGACTACTGCCCCAATTGCTGCAAAAAGTGGTTGAAAAATGGTCACTTGCTCAAAATCATTTTTAAAACATAATGACAATCTCTTATCTTTATAATAAAGCTAAATTCTTGTTCATACCATTATGTTATATATGTTTAAGGGATAAGAAATAAGAAATTTGTCTATTTAAGGCAGTATTTAATTTATTTAATTTTACGATAACTCAACGAGAATTAGAAGGCAGAGCACAACTAGTATATTCCTTACCGAAATCGGGCTGTTGTCATGTTAACTACCAATTAATTATATAAAGAAATACATATCATAGGGATAACTAGTTATGCTGGCGACTCACACTAGTTGAAAATTAGTTTGTTACACTTAATTTCACTACTGGGATACTGCGTTAGCATGAAAACACTGTTATATATTATAGTTTCTATATACTATGTATGAGTGTACATATGTATATACCACATCCATAAGTTTTGATTTACATATTGTGGTTTTGTTGACGATTTGCAAGTCAATTTTATTTGAGCAATGTTTATAAACGCATTCTCACACAAAGCTTTTGTTTCTGAATGAACTACTAATATATGTATAAATGTTTATAAATAATTATATAAATCATTGTAAAAGCTCTGATGACAAAAAAATTATAATTTTTTATTGACAATTCAATTTGACCGGATATCCTGAAATTTATGCATGATGACAGACACAGTGGAGAACTTTTGAAATTTCTAATGAATTTTAAAGAAAAAATTTGATCTGTTTCGGTGGTAAATTTCTTGCACACTTAATATACTTTTTATCATTGATTAATCAAATTTATGTATTTATAAAATATTTACTATAAAACGGATACGCAATAATTGGAATTTTTTGAAAAATCTGTTTTAGAAGATGGAACAAATGAAAACTGTACAAAAATTACTCATACCACACGTATTCCAAAGCAAATTCCAAATCAAATGAATATTTTGCTTATTGAGGTACTTAGCTACAAATAATTTTCTTTAAAAATGCTCAATGATATTATCTCGATTTAGTGGAACAACTCTTCTTCTTTTGCTTTCAAAGAGTCACTAAAAACATATTAAAACAAGAAAAAACGTTAACTTCGGCTGCACCGAAACTATAATACCAGGTGAACTT